TAGATATCACCATAAGATACTGCTGGTGAATCCATAAGCCCAAATTTCAAAGAAACTCACAGATATCTCAGCATTTAGTCTGCACTGTTACCTTTCAGGCCATTGCTTTACTTTCTATGAGGGAGATATAGACTTAGTGAGGGGCAGCAGGAGATTGAGAGAAGGTGATCACAGGCTTGGCTTATTATTGTATTTGTTTGGGATATAGAGCTGTGACTCTTCTGCTTGACTTTGTACTCACAGCAGAGCTGCTGTGCTCAAATCTCTGTTTTTTCCTATGTCATATATGGCCATCACAACCTGTGCATTCACATGGCTGCATTACATTGTCTGCAGGGTTATTCACAACTGCAGACTCGCAGGGATTTAAAGTTACACCACAACAACTCACACGAGGGCTTAACTGACGTTCAGTATTATATGTTCTGTTTGACACATGCTTAGGCTTAAAGAGCATTTAGATCCCTGTGGCATTACTGTACCGTTGACAATTGTAATTGCAAAGCCCCCTTCAAAATGCAAAAGCTGTGGAAAGAGATTTGGGTGTAAAATAAAAGCAGATCTCTTTAGGAGACATAGTGTCGAGATTAGTCTGGGCTCAGGCTCTGCCAGATGTGGATGTGGGTGGGTCTCACATTATGAGAGTGATACATGAATTTAAACACTTCTTCCAGTTCATGGTAACTCCCTGGGCTGGGAACCTTTAATATGGATGGGGAATAAGCACAGACTTCTAATAAATACACCATTTATTAACAAAACAGATGCTACTGTTTGTGCTTGTTTGAAGGCTGGGCTGCAGTAGCTGAAGCTGTATAATAGATAGCCACTCAGTCCAGATGGCATCCTGTTCCTCCCTGCTTATAAATGGGAAACCCTTTTATTCCTCTTCCCCATCCACGTCCTCTGGCTCTGGTAACTTTCCCCCCTCCATGAAAGAATTCTTCTTTTGAGATGCCATTTACCAAACTTAAGAGAAACCCAACTGCTGCTGTGCAGGAAATTCAGTACTTTGTTTTGTGCTCACTCGAGTGACAGCCCAAAGCATAAACAAGTATTAAAAGGCAGTGGCTTGGGGCTATTTATGTGGGAGGTAAACCACAAGGAAATAGACCCTTTACACCTCTCTGCCTGCTATAGGCCTCAGCCCAACAAGTAAATAAGTAGATATTTATTTTGAACAGGTCAGTGACGGGCAGAGAGCCCCAAACTGCCCGTTCATGCACTAAGAAACCGCAGCATTGAATAAGCTGAGGTCAATTCTTGCACGTATTGACTCAAGTATGACTGACAGCGGAATTTCTGCAGTAGCAGAAGTTAGATGAGTGCTGGGCAAATCCTGCAGAAGGCACCAAATGAAAAAGCTTCAAGCTATGCCTGGGCTACGGGGAGCAGCAGCAGCATGAGGCTGGAGAGGCTTTAGTGACACTTTCAGGTGCACTCTGCAGGCGGTCAGGGTGAGCCCTGGTCAGGATGCAGCCCTCACTGTGCTCTCTTCTCCAGGGGACGGATCAAACACCTGGACGTGGTGACGCTGCTCCGGAGGATCCAGCCCCCGCTGGGCTTCGGGAAGCTCTGTCCTCACCGGGTGGCTTGCAAAGTAAGTGTAAGAGCCTGACAGAGAGAGGGAGGCTCCAGAGGGCACCTAAAATGCTGTTTATTGCGTGGACAAAGTTACAGCAGTTGGGGGCCTACAGCTGCTGGCAATGGGCAAGCCGTGTGTCCTGCAGCCCAATTCTACTCATGTTTCAAAGCATTATATTTTTTTCTTTGCTGGGCATCTTATTACATAGCAACTAATCAACATCATACACAATACCTTTTACATTTACTTATCATAACTTATCATAATTACTAACATGACTATATTCGTGTTACTATTTTCTAATCACAAAAGGTTAGTATGTTACAGTTTAAGTTAGAAGTTGTTTTTTCGGTTTTTTGCAGTGGAAAATTTTGAGACTTTTTCTTTACTTGGCTTTCTTGTTTGCCTGTGAAAATCTTTTTGTTTGGTAAAAGCATCTTTTGTTTGAGGTGCATTTGTCCTTTGCTCTAAGTCATAAAAGCCCCTTCCAACTCACTTGAGCTTTGCCTTCTAGTTACCCAGTAAGACTGGCTCAGCAATTCTTTTCTTCTATATCAAAACTTGCTTTCATTTCTATAGAACCTTCTGTATATCTGTAAAACTTTTCTGTAAAACTTTGGTCCTTCCCAACACTGCAGCTCGGGGGAGGCTGGGCTCAGAGCAGCTAAACCAGAGAATCAGAGAATACACAATGGTTTGGCACCTTAAAGACCATCTAATTCCAACCCCCGTGCTTGGGCAGGGCTGCCTTCCACCACACCAGCTGTTTTACACTAAACAGCCTCAGCCTGCCCTGGCATTTTCTACCTCACTGGGCACATCCCAGAGCCAGCAACAGCTGGACAAGCCCTGGGCTGCCCTGTGCCTCTCTCCAGCTCCTCTGGGCTGCCACCACCCAGTCGAGGGCTGGAGGGTCACCAGCAGGTGGGTTGTGCACTACTCAGGGCCTTTTGTCTGGTTAGGAGAGCACATCTGTGCTAAATACAGCTCTCAAGCACCAAGGACACACATCTGCTTGTACTGTCAAACACCCAATGTCGAGGCAGAAATGACAGGGCATTCTCATCGTGTAACCAATCCACAGGCCATGGATATTCACACAAGAGGGATGGCAGGTCTGGAGGGTGTAAGGACATAAGGAAGAGCAGTCTTCAGTCCATGTGTGGCAGTGTGACTGTTGTCTTTCTTCTCCTCATCCCACAGCGCCTCGTCTCCATGAACATGCCACTGAACAGCGATGGGACCGTCATGTTCAATGCCACTCTCTTTGCATTGGTCAGAACTGCCCTGAGGATCAAGACAGAAGGTGAGAAACTTGCTGACTGCAAGGATACAAAGGTGTTCATGCCAAGGTGTCCTGAGCTGGAATAAACCAACAGGGACATCTTGTTTAAAATGATCCAAATTACTCCTATGCAGCACATGGGACAAAAAGCTATGTAAAGAGGTTTGGAGGGATAATATCTTCTAGGGAAAGCACAGTGTTTCCCACTACCTAGGAAGCCAGTGCTTCAACTCTCAAATTACTGATCACATTCTTCACAGTGGTCTGAAAGTTTAAAATTTTAGATCAATGTCTGCTCATACAGGAATTAGGAGGACAAAGGGTAAAGAAGCCTCCTCTTTGTATCCTATCTGCAGAACTGAGCCACTTCTTGACTGCTGTTGTCACTGATCTTCCAGTCCAAGGGAGAAAAAAGAGCTTGGACTCGAGGGTCTCATCTCACAAAAACTCCTCCTGTGCTTCCATTAGCATGAGTTAATATTACATTTTGGTAACAGTGGTGTTGTAAAGAGACATGAGAAGTAAAGGGACTGTTAATAGCTTTGCATAGACAGCAGGTATATTTGAGGAAAACAGACAAGATTTGGGGCTCAGCTTGTCCTCTTTGTTGCACTCTGTCACCTGCTGTAATGAAAGATATTGGTCCTGAGTCTAATCCTGGCCTCATGTATTAATGAGATGCATTAAAAGAGAGTGTAGGTCTGTGATTCACAGCTAAACACCTCTGCCTCAGGAGTGGCTGCTTTCCATTTCAGACATGGGGAAGCAGAGACCAGCAGAACTCTACCTCACAGTGCCAGCTGTACAAAAAAACAGTGGCAAAACAAAAAAAAATATATTAAGGCCTTGAAATTTGTGCTAAACAGAATCTGACTGTAGCACAAGAGACTCTCCTGAGGAAAAAGCCACCCACAATCCCTGTAAGACATCTTGTGTCTTATGAAACAGAGGCCCAAAAAGGACTCGATTTTCTTGTCTGTCTGAGCCTCAAACTCTTGGAGTCATTGCCAGTGAACTCCTGGAAAACCATCTAAAGCCTCAAACTGCTTTCATTCTTGCCCTAGCAGAATCTTTTAAGTGGTTGGGGTAGGAGTTTGGAATTAGCCCTGCTGAGTCAAATTTCTGCCTTTGATGCTGTCCATGTGTTGCATCCTCAGCAAGTTATTCAGTGTCCCTATCTTCACTGCTTCCTATTATAAGAACTACTGCCATGCAGAGCCTTAGTGCTGGGGAGAAATAAGAAAAACTGCAGGAACAGCACCTTTAGGAGGACAAGATACTGGTTTAAGACACCTAGAGAGAGAAGAGAGGGGTTTGAATGTACATAAATCAAGAAATAAAACTGAAGGTGACTCATTTGAGAGGAGATGGGTATCTAGAAGGAAAGTCACCTCCCTACCCAGAGATGACTATGCACATTTAGGAAAAAGACCTCTCGCTGTGAGGGAGCTTTAGGAATGGTCTTGGCCCAAAACTTTCCACTGCTGAAAACACTCTGACATTTACCTCTTGAGATTTCCATGCCAGACATTAAATTGCTCCTCTGCAGGGTCTGCTTAATTCCTGTCTCTGATGATTTTCACCCTGCAGGTAACCTGGAGCAAGCCAACGAAGAGCTGAGAGCAATAATTAAGAAAATCTGGAAGCGCACCAGTATGAAGCTGCTGGACCAGGTGGTGCCTCCTGCAGGTGGTGAGTGCAGGATCTTGTCCCTCTCTCTGAACGTCTCTGTTTTTTCCCTCACCTGTCCTGTCCTACTGCACCTCGTGATCATCAGCTGGAATAGGGGGCACAGAACTTTCATCTACAAGCTATCTGTATTTCATCAGGCTGAGCTCTATTTTATACTAACACGAATATCCTGTTCTTACTGCTGAGAAATCAGGAAAATAAAAAAATGTGCATAAATAGGAGTTGGTGCATAGGCATCCAGTGTGGCATTCACTGACTTTCCAGGTGGCCCCATGAGCACAAAACAGCACTTGGAAGTCAGCCAACCGAAGCAGACAGGTCCCGAGCCTGTCTGAAATCAGTGGACCATGTCTTCTAAAATTTCCAGTGAGTTTGCAGAAAGGAGGAGAGCTACCTGGAGAAAAACTTAGTGCACATTTTGGCTGACTGACACTTTTTATTGTATGGAAACGTAGCTGTGACTGTATTTCAGGAGAGAGGTGATCTTCTCTGCTCACTCACACCCATGTTAGGCACAAAGAGACAGAATTGCAGTGCAGAGAAGGCTCAGAGCAGGCCTGGGATGGATGATCATTCAGAGCTGTTGGCCAGCCAGCCTGTGAATAAGTCTTACCCCAGGCTGTCACAAGACAGCAGCATGTGTTGACCCAGACTGGGAGGCTGCTGCTATAACGAGATCCTTTGTGGTTAACCAACACCAGAGACTGCAGAGGTTAGATGTGCTCCTGCTGCAGGGGTTCAGTGCCAGCAGAGCCAGTCTCAATGCCACCTGCACCTCTCCTCCTGACTACTCACAGCAAGCTCTGGCTGCAGAGAAACCCCTTCCTTCAGCCCTGCATCCTGATGCCATAAAAAGCAGAGATGCACTGCAGCACCCAGTGTTTCTGCAAGGCTTACGTCCGCAAATACATGATAAACCAGCTGCTTATTTAATTTATTTTTTATAAATTTATTCATAAATCAGCTTCTCATTTAATTTGCTCTTTCCCTCCCCGCCTCTGCAGACGACGAGGTGACCGTGGGGAAGTTCTACGCCACTTTCCTGATCCAGGAATATTTCCGGAAGTTCAAGAAGCGCAAAGAGCAGGGGCTGGTGGGGAAACCCTCGCAGCGCAACGCGCTGTCCTTACAGGTGACAAGCGGGCCCCAGGTGACAAGGGCTGGTACAGTAGAGACAGGTGGCCCCACTTCCCTCTTCAACCACTCTGGGGGGGTTGCAATGGGCTGTCCCTGCTGGACAGGAGGTCGTAGACACCTTGAATTATCACACCAATCCTTGTGGACAAATATCTGTGTGTACCATGGGTTCACAATCCCTTAGCTCTGGAAATGGAAGGCACAGGTGAGGCAAAATCACAGTTTATCAATCTGCCAGTGATATTTGAAATTTGGGATCCTCTTAGAGGACTGGTATGAAGTGTCCTACAGACATTTGCTTACTCCCACATACATTTGACCCATTCTGAGTGCATGCTGCCAGGAGGCAAAAATCACTTAGAAAGCAAAAAGCATACCTGGATGCCAAGGCCATCCAATGGACAGGACTGTAAGGATTAGGATTGGGTCTGCTCCCCACTGTGATACATGTTCATTCAGTAGATTATCAGGCTGTGTGACAGAAAGAGAAAACCCCATTGACTGTACAAGCAGGACTATTTATGTCCCTCGAGGATACATTGAGGAAAAAAGGGTGACTCTGGAGTTTCAGCAGGTTGAAAAGTGCTGTGATGTGGGCACAAACACAGAATGAAGCCTCAGCATAACCACAGCTTACCACCCTGGATGGACTCTTTGGAACAGATTCCAAAGGGGTCTGAGGGGTTTGAAGACTTTAGGTCTGAATGCCAGAAGCTTAGTTATTAAATTAATATTTAAGCTGATGAAAGAAAGAAGATATTTTCTGAGGCACCAGAGTACATGGTTCAGCTGGAACTGTGGCTGCTCTAGAGCTTCTGGTTGTGGATCTGAGAACCCAGAGTAGAAAGCACACAGACCTGCTTAGCCAAACCCGTGGATTTATGTCTATGTCCTGCTGTGATGAAGCCAAGAACTAGCAACAAACATCCCTCGGTTTGCATTGCCAAGAGTTTCTCCCTCTCTGAGGTGGAGGTGAAAGAGCAGGGTTTGTTGGTGTTTCTCTAGGAGCTGGGGGTGCTGTGTTAACCAAGGGGGCTCCACAGTGGTTAGGAGGGAATGGCAGTGCTGTTACCTCTCCTGTGCCCACTCGGAGATATGAAGCTCTATAGTTTGCTGTTTTGCAGGCTGGTCTGCGCACGCTGCACGACATCGGGCCAGAGATCCGACGAGCAATTTCTGGAGACCTGACAGCTGAAGAAGAGCTGGACAAGGCCATGAAAGAAGCAGTTTCTGCTGCCTCTGAAGATGACATCTTCCGGGTAGGTTCCAAACAAGTTTGTGAGCTGAGGTGTTAGCTAATAACACAGAGAGAGACACACACTCACTGACTGAGGAATCAAGCAGGAAAGAACCACTTTATTTACATTTCATGTCTATTTATAGAATTCCAACGTTGACCATGGATTGGAGAGTAAGGATAATACCTCCTGACCCCATAGATCCCATCAACAGTCCATCAATTCTCTCTTCCTCCAAAGAGGAATGCAAAACATTCATTGTTTACAAGAACAGAGTGTGAGAAACTGCAAGAAATTATCTGTCAATAATCAGAAGGCTGAACACAAGGGCAACACTGAGGCTGAGCTCAGAGTGCTACATTCTCTTCTGTTCATTCTGCATTTCAGCTGGGCCCTCCTTCTTGTGTAGATCTTACCAGAAAACAGTGGTGGACCTAAGTCCTAAATGCAAGGTCCTAAAGTCTTTGCATAGTTTATCCCAGCTCCCTCTCTTCCTCTCAAGGGAAACTTCTCACTGGAAGATTCCCTCATGAAACCTAAATTATAGATCCATGCAGCCATCCAGCAATGTGCAGAGCAGCAGCCAGGCACACTTTAGTGTTTTGTTCACTCCTTTCAGTGGAGTGAATTGCAGAACTCAATATTCAACACCAACAGAACAAACGAATGGGGATACAAGCATCATAAAGTCACCCCAAGATACACTGATAGCATCCTTCCAAAAAGAATACCAGGACCCAATAGAGGTCCTATGGAAGGAGAAAATTTTCTGACTAACTTAGCTAAATCTTTTCTTTTTTATCCCATTCCTGTTTCTTATAATTGTTTTCTTTGGTAACTTTTCCTCTCCTTTGGCATTTTCCTCCTTTTTTTACAGAAAGATGCTGTCAGTCCCTTTCATTACCCACCATCTAAACAGTACATAACCAGCTCATTAAATTTCTCTTCATTTCTTCCTCCAGGTGCTTAATAGTTTTTGGTGCTCTTCTCAAATTCCCCCCCATATCTAAATGTTCCTTTGCAACTGCACTGAGAAAACCAGACAGCAGCTACCTGGTTCTTGTACCCATACCCTGTCCTGGACTCCCAGGACTGGTGGGAGGTGTAGAGACACACACCTGCCAGTCCTCTGAAATCCCACACCTTCTCTGTGACAGAGAAGTCCTCACACTGCCTCCTGGAAGAGAGAGCACCAGTGCCATCATGCTCACTTTGGGTCTCGCTTTTTTTTTTTCCTCAATAACAGTCTAAACAGGAAAACAATTGCACATCTCACTCACAAAGGAAAAATCCTTTCTGTTTCTCTGACAGAGAGCTGGAGGCTTGTTTGGAAACCATGTGAGCTATTACCAAAGTGATGGCAGGAGTGGGTTCCCCCAGACATTCACCACCCAGAGACCTTTGCACATCAATAAGTCTGGCAACAACCACGGAGACACTGAGTCTCCATCTCACGAGAAGCTGGTGGACTCCACCTTCACTCCCAGCAGCTACTCATCTTCAGGCTCCAATGCCAACATCAACAATGCCAACAACACTGCCCTGTGTCGCTTCCCCAGCCCACCCAGCTACCCCAGCACTGTCAGCACGGTGGAAGGCCATGGGACCCCCTTGTCACCCACCATATGTGTGCAGGAGGCTCCCTGGAAACTCCCATCCAAAAGGTAAGTTTCCCAGCACAGAGGGAGCCAAAAGGGAGCAGGTGTTGGGAAGGTGCATGCAAACACCAGAGCACTGCTGCCAAGCCAAAGTCACTCCCAGGCATTGCCCAGCCTGCAGCCTGGATTGAGCCTTTTGGTTCTCAGCCCACAGTGCAACAGAGATGCCCCAACTGGCCACTGCAAAGCACCAGCACGCCCACTGACCAACACACTTGATTTCTTCGGGCTTTATCAGGAGGAAACCTTTATAAGGTCCAAAGGGAACCTTATTTATCCCTCCTTCACCACAGGGAGGTGTTTTACCAGCTGGTAACTGAAGGAGACTGCTCTTCATGTCTTAATTGCCCGATAGGGAGCTTTGTTGAAGTCAGTGGTTTTTCATTCAGCAGGTCACATCCCCACAGAGGTCACCAAAGACATTCTGGGAGGAGGGAGGCAAGGTTTTCAGAAACAAAGAGAAGAAAATCCCCTTCTCTGGACAGTTTTCAGGCTCTCTACACACAGATGACTAACACAAAAGGAATATAATTTTTCTCACTGGGAGATTTTTTTTTTTAATACTTTCAGAAACAGCAGGAAAGAGATGGATTTTCTTTTTTTTCAGTGCAGAGAGTGAACAGTGTGAAAAAGTGACTAAATACTGCCCCCAGAAAGGACAGAATAGGACAATAAGACAGAGGAACTTCAGTGGGTGCAGAATTGCCCAAGTGGAGAGTCCCGTGGTTTTTGTATTTCATGCCTTCCTGAGGGAGGCCACGGGAGTTGCACAACATGTGTTGCCATCTGCCCTCCTCCCTGCTGACTCGTGCTGCTGTGACACTGCTAACAGGGTGTTCTTTTCTCTCCTTGCTTCCCTGGGCACGTTCCTTGAATTAGGACACATTACTACGAGACCCTGGGACGGTACGTGTTCCCCACACCCCTCTAATGCTGCCCGGGTGCCAGACCCACTCTTTCCTCCTGTCCAAATTCCCATGAATGCTGAATATGAGCTCTCCCTTTTGGTGTCAGTAGGGCTGAAATGGAGATAGTGATCACCATGGCAGCTCCAGAAAATGCTCACAAGTAGCGATCCATGTTCTGGTTATTTTCTATATTTGGGGTTTTTTAGGGATTCTAGCACATCTACACATTCTCTGATCACAGCATAGTGAAGTACACCCTGGCATGTTCATACAGAAATTCAGTATGGTTTTGGCTAAACACAGACAGTTGAACAGCAGGAGATGCCAGATACTGATTTTTTCCCCTGTGCACCTTAGCAGTTTTGCTTGCCTCTCATTTCAGAGGAAGGTCACTGCAGCACTGTCCTACAGGCTCTTTTACAGAATTGATACCCACATTTCTCCCAATAGTTTTTGCTTTAACCAGATGACAAGATAATGTTGCCTTTCCGTCCCTAAAAGATTGGGAAAAAAATGCCACCCTGCTTTCTTCTGTAAATGCTAGTAAGAAACTGAAATTGTTTCCAATACCTCCATGTCCATACCTCAAAGATTCAAGCTACCTCCAGATTTTATATTACTCCTCAGAAAACACAAAGTCCAAAAGAAGCAAAACACAAGTGCTGAAATGTGAAACAGAGGGACAGAGAGGAGGCAAGCAGGGAATTAAGGGCTGGCACACCTAAGGATTTGAACAGCCCCTACTGAATTCAGTAGAAGCATTCTGCAGTTTAAAAAAGGGATGAAAGGTGGAAAAGCCAGCAAGGATGAGAATGTGAGCAGGAGGCAGAGAGCTGGTGCAGACTGAGGGATTTGGGAGGCAAAGGCCACACATCACAGAGATGAGAAGGTTACTGTGAGTGTCCTGGAGGCTTCTCTGAAATCCATAACCAAGTCTTTTGCAACAAGGGCAAAAGCTTATTCCTGAGAGCCCATCTCAGATTTTACTGTGAGTTCAATGAGGTGCATCTTTGGAAATGTGGTCAGTGTGATGTGCACAATAATAGAGTACAGGTAGTCACAAATGACAAAACACATTCACAGTGTTGTTCAGCATTGGTTTAAGAAACTCATCCTGTGAAAGAGGACACAGACAAAGGTCGTTGCCTTGTATTTGTGAACTCTGTAGCTCTGTTCATTGATTTTCCTATGATGGCTCTTCAGCATTGTAATAAACTGAGACAGATGGAGCCTGTCATTCTTGCCTTTGTAACAGGTTGTCTTTACCATCTCAATATCTTGACTTGTCTTTTTTGCTCATTAGCTCCAGTTCCAGAGACAGCCAGCTGGCAATTGTTTGCCAAGAGGAAGTGTCTCAGGATGAGACTTATGATGAAAATTTGAATGAAGACATTGAGTACTGTAGTGAACCAAGTCTGCTCTCTACTGAAATGTGAGCTTTGCAGCTTTAGTCAAGGTGTTTGGGTGGTTCTTTAATTAAGGGGGAGAACTGGGAAGAGGTGACGTTTTTCTACAAAAATTTCAATTTAAGGGAGACGGTCAGAAAATTTTAGACAACTCAAATATGAGAAAATATTTTTTTTTTTTAAATGCACTTCAGCCCTAGAAGTAACATTGCAATTTTTTCACCCAGGGTTTTCCTTCTCTGAATGAGACATCTGGATCTGCAGGGCTGCCCCCCACATTCACTTCTACCTCCTGATGCTCCTAGAGCTCATTTTTAGAGGGTTCTGTGTCTCATGGTCTCTTGGACCTGTAATAGTTTGAAGCTAGCTTGCTCTTGCATCCCTTTGCTAGCATGACCTTCCTGGCTTCATGGCTGGAGGAGGGCTTATTCTGCTCAATATCAACTGCTTTTCTAAATCTCTCTGCTCTCCTTCCCAGGCTTGCATACCAAGATGATGAAAACAGACAGCTCACTCTGCCAGAAAACAACAAAGGAGAGGACAGCCGGCACTCTCCCAAGAAGGGGTTTCTGTGCTCCTCAGCTCTAGGTAACCTCCCAGCAGGGCTGGGCTGTGTTTCCTCCTCCTTGATGGAGTTCCCACATCTCCCAGGAGGAATCCCAGCCTGTGTGGGGACGGGTGTTGCTGTTTGCTGCATTCAGCTCATGAGAGCAGGAATGCCAAGGTGTGCAGACAATCCTGCTCAGGTACATGGCTCTGCTGGCTTCACACCTGGCCAGCAGATGGACCTGGGGCTGTTTGGACAGTGATCTGTTTGATCAAGCCTTCCTGGGATTTAGGGCAGTTTATTTGAGAGCTGTGGACTCTCCAAACAATCACCAGGGAGTCACCAAATAGGTGAGCCTTGAGTCTACAGTGTTCTGCTCTGTGTGTATTCAGCAAGGAGAAAGGAGAGATTGTCTCCTTTGTCTGCTACCAGGAACACACTGAATGTCAGATTAAGTTAATACAACATAAATTTGCCTTCTGCTCTAATTGTGCCTGGAGATTTTTAAGTGCATCACTGTCAGGGGAAACCCATGAATCACAAGGTTTTATGAAAGTATCAAGAGAGTCAGTGACAAAAGGAACTCTTCTAGCTATAGCGTTTTTCAGCCTTTTTCTGCGTATTGGTGTGGTGGAAAAGGGCACTGGAGGGAGAAACTAAAAAGAATCATGTGTATAAAATACATTTTTACAGAATAGCAGTGACAGACTAGGTGGTGTCATGTTTAAAGTGAGGCTACTGTGTCTTCACTGAAATCTTTCAGGATGCTTGCGTGTTGTAACAACATTTACTGTATTTCAAATCTTAAAATATTAGGAAATGACAACTTCTACTTCTATCTGTAAGGCAGTCAGCCTTTGATACAATGCTCCCCTAACTACATTCTAGTGAATATTTATATACTTATGTCATACTCACTTTACTAGTTGGGATTTTTCTCTAGAAAGATGAAATACCTGAATTATAACATTCATGCTCTGGATTATAACATATTTTCTCCAACCCTGAGAGGGCTTTCTCTCGACAATCCAGTATTATAAATAATTACTATTTTCAGAATTCTAATTTTCTTTCCTTCTTCAGAAAAACGTTAACAGAATCAAGACCACAAAAATATTTTAATGTGCCATATATTGAATCTTTAATACTGGATTTATTTGCCATTTTTCAGAAGTAAAGCACTTGATCACAAACATACTTTTCAGTAGTTTTAAATTCCTCATTGGGAGTATCTTTCTCATATTTAGAGAAGTAAAGTTTAATTTTATAGCAAGTAAACAATGTGACTGTTTCAGTAGTTCCCTCTAAAATCTTTTTTTTCTCTTCCTTTTCTTCCAATTCCGAAAATGCTTCACGTCTGTCCAAGTCACCTTCCCTTCACCAGTAAATTCCCCACTGATTAATTCAGTTGCACTTGACCTTGCTATAGACACAGTCTCATGAAGTGTGGTATGTCTGGCAGCTGAGGGACACAGATCACATGCTGAGTGCTTTCTGTAAATACATTTGCTTTGGAAAGGGCACAGTGTTGAGGGGAAGTGGACAGAGCCTAAAGCATGTGTGTCTTTGCTGTATGTCCAGTGGGACTGCACTAAAAGAAGCTGAAAACAGATTACCTGTGGTGTATTATGAGTGATGGACACACTCTGTGTGTTGCTGTTTCAGGTCGAAGAGCATCTTTTCACTTAGAGTGTTTGAAAAGACAGAAAAACCAGGGTGTGGATGTCTCACAGAAGACAGTCCTGCCTTTGCATCTGGTCCATCATCAGGTGAGTGTTAATAACCACCCAGAGCCTCCCAACCCACTGTTTAAAAACCATTTGGGATAGATTCTCACTCATACCAAAGGCCCAGGTTTTAGCAGTCAGGATTTTTATCATTCCTAGAATGCTACAGGAATATGTCCCTTGGAGTCAGCCACAGCTATCATTTTCTGATGCCCATGAAAGAAGAAGATAAGATAAAATACTAGCAAAAACATGAAAATAACTACCCAAATTGCATGCTGCAGTGCAATTGCACTGGCTTCGATAGCAATATGCACATGAATAAAGTGTGCACAGTCTATTTTAATATTAATTAAAGGCAACCAGTAAGTGTAATTAACCATTTTAAAACATAAACTGATCAGATGTAATCAATCAGCTTCTTAAGCCCTTTGTCACTGTGTTCAGCAGCCCAGCAAATGTATGTCTAAACACATACCTAGATGATTAGCCAGCTGTCAGGCTCAGGAGGAGAGCTGTGTCTTTTGGTTTGATGATGCCACTTTTTGTCAACATAAAAGAAACAGGTGCAGATGGCAGTGACAGCCTGGTAGGTGTGGCATCCTGCTCTCTGCAGTCCCCACAGGCAGGGCAGAATGGCCTTGCCACTTCTTTAGGGCAGAAAATGCCACACAGCAGGAATGGGAGGAGTGAGAAGTCAGAGGAGTGAGAGAGGTGTGGGCTTGAGGCTCCCTGGATTTTCTCACCTCCAATTCCAGATTTATCCTTTAATTCTTGAGCTTCAGGTCTGCACAGAGTTACAGCTGTGTAGTGACAACCAGAAAGTGTGTTGGAGCAAGGAGGATTGGTGAGGAAACATCTTCTCACATTCACCAAAGCACCAAAAGCCCTCCTGAGACTTCCTGCCCTCCCTAGGCAGAGGGAACACAGGTCTCACAGCCTTCTCAGCCCACACAGCCACAGAATCACCTCCCTCCAACCTCCAAGAATAAGATGGAGCTACTCCACGCTTCCTCATCCCACCATGCAGCCCAAAACCTGGAGGGATGGGGCTCTGCCCACACAAGTGCCACACTGAAGGGCTACCCTGAAAGAGGCATCTGGCTGCCAGCTGACAACACTCAGCAACATTCACATGTTTACAAAAATGTTAACCAGCAACAGTGCCTGCAATAAGACCACAGAGTGGAAAGGTTGCCTCTGCTAAACCTAATGCATTCTGTTGCTGTGAATGCCTGCAGAGGTGTTCTCATGGAACACCTGTACATCATGTGTAAATGTATTTGAAGCTCAAAGAAATCCTACAGAGCTTCTTTCAGCTTCCTCAGAACCTTACATTTTTGATCAAGCATTTTTTGTGTAAGTTTCTGCCAACAAGCTGAAAAATTGGTTCTGTTGTCCTGCCTGACAGATCCAGGTCTCTCCTTGAAGTCCTGGCAGTTTAAGGGATGTGCTGAGGCCATTATAGCCTGCAGGGCATGACTTATTCAGAAGTCTTAGGGCTTTCTTCCTCACTGAAATTTGATAGCATCTAATTCCTGAGAAATCCTTGGTGAACTTGCAGGTGATTAAGAATGAATTCTTTTTTTCAGTGTCAGTTTACTTGACACTGAAGTCATCAGCATAAAATAATTATCAGTTCCCGAGGATTTCAGTGGCAGATGGACTAAACTTCACTGAACATTAGATAGCTTTAAGTGAGTTGTCTTTAGTTTAAATTAGTCAGTTCAGTCCCACTGTGGTCAATGGAGGGAAAGAGCATCACCAAAGGGCAGGTTTAAGTCTTGTCTCAGTCATGTCTTTGAGGCAGCATTTTCAGACAGGTATTGAAGAGGAGGGAGGCTTGCCAGTTCCTTTCTGCACAGTTAGCTTAGACTAAACACAGGGCTTTTCCCCAGCCTGAACACAACTCAATCCACACACTTTTGTAGTTTCTATGCATTTATTTCATTGCTCAGCCATGAGCTCTGTGAGATGAGCTTGTGACTCTGACAGTCTTGCTTACAGAACAAGGAAGAAGTCACCATCAATAAGGCAGCAGAGAGGCCTCTTGAGGAATTTGTTATAGGAGGAGGCTCAATGAGTCAGAGGCTGTGCATATGATTACAGGAAGGACTGGACGGCTGAAAGTATAATCATTAGATATTGATCCTCCCACCAACAGCAGATGCCTTAGAATCCAGTGGTGAATTTCAAGTTATTGCCAACTGCACACACATCTAAAATTCACATCTGGTATCTGCTCAGGTTCCTCAGTAGACACTTAAAACAGTAACTGGCAATAAAAGCCTGTGCTATGTCTGGTGTCAGTGGTGGGAAAATGAGTTGCTGTCTCCCTCACTGGAGAAGAGGTGGTGTTTCTAGAAGCACCATGGGGATGGGGCTGCATCCCTCCTGGCAATGCCATGGGAATGGGACTGCATCTCTCCTGGCAGTGCCATGGGAATGGGGCTGCATCCCTCCTGGCAGTGCCATGGGAATGGGACTGCATCTCTCCTGGCAGTGCCATGGGAATGGGGCTGCATCCCTCCTGGCAGTGCCATGGGAATGGGCCTGCATCTCTCCTGGCAGTGCTGTGACTCCCAGGCTAAAGAACTGCGGTTCTGAAATTTTCCAGTCCAGTGCTTGGCACTCGCACAGGCGACACCATTTAAAGGAAAGCTTGCAAAAATGAGTCTGCAGCACACATCCAAACCCTTCAGGGAGCTGGCAGCTTTTATCACAAGCCTCGAGATTCTCCAGGCCTTTATCGTACGGTTTCTCCAGCAGCTCCTCGTTCCAGCCGTGCAAGCTCTCACTCGTGTTGTCCCTCCTCTGTCCGCAGGCACTAGCAGTGGCCGGCCTGAGTCCCCTGCTCCAGCGAAGCCATTCCCCCACCACGTTTTCTCGGCTGTGTGCTACACCCCCGGCCACGCCCTGCAACCGGGGCTGGCCGCAACAAACCATCCCAACGCTGCGCCTCGACGGGGCGGAATCCTCGGAGAAGCTCAACAGCAGCTTGCCGTCCGTGCACTGCGGCTCCCGGTACCCCGAGAGCGGCGGCAGCCCCAGGAGAGCCCGGCCGGTGTCGCTGACCGTGCCCAGCCCCACCGCGGGGAGCAGCCGGCAGCTCCACGGCAGCGCCAGCAGCCTGGTGGAAGCGGTAAGAGCGCACAGGACCGAGGGCACTGTGGCCACTTAGAAAAGTGGCCCTGGAAGAGCAGGGCAGCAGATCCACTGCCCTTCTCCCAGCAGGGGTTTAGAAGCAGGAATGGGAGAAGGAGGCATAGCAGTGGAGAGGGTTGTGTTGGAGGTGTGGCAGGGTTGATGCTGCCGGGTACTAACACGTGTCTTTGTGTTCTGGTTCCCCACCTGCTTTTGAAGGTCTTGATTTCGGAAGGACTGATGCAGTTTGCTCAAGATCCAAAGTTCATTGAGGTCACAACCCAGGAGCTCGCAGACGCCTGCGACATGACGATAGAAGAGATGGAAAATGCAGCAGACAACATTCTCAATGGTAACAGCAAGCAGAGCCCCAATGGCAACCTCTTGCCTTTTGCTAACTGCAGGGACCCAGGGCAGGACAGTGCAGGAGAGGAAGAGGAAGAGGTGCAAAACCCGGATTGTAGGATAAGTCAGGAGGAGCTCAAGGACAGCAGGATTTATATCAGCAGCCTGTAGTTGCCAGGGCTGGAAGCGATGCTGGTTTTTTATTTGTTTCAATGTTCCTAATGGGTTTGTTTCAGAAGTGCCTCACTGTTCTCGTGACCTGGAGTAACCGGAACAGCGTTCTTCATTCATTTCTGTTGGGACGAGTCGCAGAGTTGGGTGGTGTAAGAAAGCTTTTCAGGAGCGGATATAACCCCAGCACGTGTCCATGAAGGAAGAGTGAGGAGGAGGAGGAGAAGAGGAGGAGAGCCAGCTCCCTCTTTTTTTCAGTCCCTGCACAAGGAACGACAGCTGCCTCCGGAGCACCAAGGGGAACCTCAGCTTCCTGTGGATGGCCCTAGCCAAAAGGACCCTGCACCAAACGGGTGTCTTTCAACCTTGCTTGTAAAAATCATTTTGCACATATTCTGTATGAGCCTCACCGTCTCCATAAAGCCAAGGCCCTTTGATTGGGAAGGAGAGGAAGACTTCTGCTGTGGATTCCCGCACGGCCACGGGGAGGAGGAAGCAGGAGAAGCCCAAGGGCGCTCGAGGCGCGGCCCAGCCCTGCCGAGACTCCGGCAGTGGCCCTTGCCGGCCAATCAGAGCTCGGGCGGTCAGTCGCCAGCCAATCCGAGCTCAGGCGGTCTCCTGCCGGCCAATCAGAGCTCAGCGCGCCAACTGTGCCAGCCAATGGGAGAGCAGGCATGGCGGCGAGGCGGAGGGGCCGCCGGGCCTGTGCAGAGTTCTTGTTTTGCAGTTTGGTATTTTCTTGAAAGCATGTTGCAGTTTTTATTTTGACTTCTTTTTTTTTTTTCTTTTCTTTTGAGGGAGAAGGGAGTGTTTACAGCGTTTTGTAATCACCTACCTTTTTTGTTTTGGTTTATTTTCACCTTTGCAGATGTTAAATTGGTTTGATCATGTTGTATTATTTAAACTGGGGGGTGGGGTGGTTTCTCCATTGGAATTTGGTAGAAGTATGATGATAAATGAGTTTTACCAACCATTATGTACACCGAGAATTTGTAATTTTATTTACTAGCAACTGAAACCTTTTTTTGTTGTTGTTTTATAATTTAAAGATAGTAGGCAATGCACTTGATATAGTCTTGCACATTTGAGTGACTGATTTGGGTTCTTTTTAGTGCTAAGTGTATCTGTGAGTGTGGGAGCAATAGGAGCGAGTGTGTGTGCGTGCGTGTGTTTAAGAGCAGCTCTCCACGTCCTGGTTTGAGCTGCGGGAGATCTGTATCTGGGGCCATTCGAATGCAAAAACAAACCACTGTCTCTGCTTTCGAAAAGGGAATCAGTAACTTTGCATTTTCTGTTCCACAAGATATGCAAAAACAATGCAATAATATTGATTTTAAAATAAAATTGTAAGTTGTGTTGGCATTAAAACTGTATAGAAAAAAAAATTTACAGGGGTGGGGGGGAAACAAAAAAAAAAAAAAAAAACCAGAAGACGTTACGCTTCGATATATTCCGTGTGATGTTTTATTGCATTGAAAATGTTTCTGTTGAAGAAACTGTTATACTTGAATTCAGGTCAGTTTCAGTATTTTTCAAATATTTTTTTAAAATGAATTGCAATTGTGCCAAGCAAAGATAATGAATTGAATTAAGTTTGTTTAAAAAAAAAAGAAAAAAAATAATCACTTCTTGTATATTTTGCTGCATGTCAAGTGAATCATTTCGTATTTGGAATGTGCCAAGCTTTACCTTTGAACTGTTAAGTGCTTTTTTACGTGTGGTTGGGGAAAGGGTACTATTTTTTTTTTCCTTTTTTAATTTGTACAATGAACAAAGTGTACCTGGTGTAAGTAACTATTCTGCAATCCACTGACAGGTTGAACGTTACTGATTTTGCATATCTTGTGTTCATTTTCCTTCTTCCTCACTCCCTTTTAACGTGCACGATGACTTTATCGGTAGAGAAACTTTCTTCCCGAGACTGGGACGTTTTATTCAGGCTTTGTTTTCTTTCCTTTTGCTCAATTCCTCTAAAGGTCTTGTCCCCCAAAGCCCATTTGGCAGATCCATCCTACACGTTCAGCTGGCACCAGCAATTTAAGGAGCAGGGGGGAAAAATCTGGTTTCAAAATTATTTTATAAAATAGCTGAACCCTGATCAATTTTAGCAGGATCCTGGGATAAGAAATGCAAGAATCAGTATGGCAAAGTAAAGTTACCTAAAATTGGTTTGGCTGAAAGCAGAGGGAGAGGGAGAGAGCTGTGGATTTTTATTAAAGAATTGCTGCAATCTGGTCAAGATGCAGGTACCAAGTGACTTTTTGGCGTTCCTATGCATGGTCTCAATCCTTTTCCCAGACTTTAGTGGATGGGTCAGGTACTAAGTCACAAAATATCTGGCAGCACAGTATGTCCCAGCCACAGTTCTTGACTAGTAAGTGTGAAACTCTCTCACACTGACAGTTGGCCCTAACCCTGAGAGAGGCTGAAAAAACAGGCACGTACTGTTAGATTTTATGCAACTGATTTTTGTCTAGACTACTGCTGTTTTTTCTTCCTCCTCAGGATGATTCACAAACTTGCAGATCAGTTCTGAGTTCTGAGGTGTGATCTGACTCAGAGCTAAACTTTGATTCCAGTCTTGAGCTTCTGCAGATGTCCGAGAACACTCTTCACTGCACACATTGATTGCATTATTTTTGTAACACTTGTTTTTCTTCTCAATTCTCTGGGGCATAAAGGAGAAATAGCAAAGGGTATTTTTGACTGTACGTTTTGAACCTGCCAGTATCAACTCAAGATACCTTGGAGAAAACCAAATACTAGAGAAATATCCATTTGTACTAGCATCTGTCATCAAATCATAATTCAAAGCTTCCCTGGAGAAAGTAAGCAGCTGATGTGAGTCAGTCTCATCCTTTCATCCCTGGTGCCTCTCTGGAGATGGGCACACACGTGTCTCCCTGTGAGTTTGCTGCTGCTGGTGCTGATGTGCTCCAAAGGTACTTGAAAGGGAAAAATGCCATGTAAGGACTCCCTAACTCATTTTCTTTCACTGCAAAGTCCATCTGACCCTCCAAATAGAAGACAGAGGTTCTTCATTCCTGAAAAACAGTGCTTACCTAAATTAGTGGTGACAATGAGAATTTTGGATGCTTGACAGTCCATCTTTTAGGATTTTTCTTGATGGGAATGAAAATGACAGGAAGGATTGTGCCCCAGGCATTCTTGGTGACAGCTGCTCCTCCCTCGGGAGTGAGAGCCTATAATGGCCAGGGGAAACCCCACTTTCTCCTGGAAGACCCAGTAGGTGCTGCAGAGTGGAAAATGTATGGCTAGCAGAGAATGCAAATGACTTCTACAGTTTGAGGAACAGGTGTTAAATTTAGTAATTGCTGGTGCCAGCTGTGCAAGCTTCTCTTTCTGGGGAGGGTGGCTTTTTTTTCTTTCTTTTTATTTGAGGTACTTCCAATGTGCACATTGTGACAGGCCTGAGCAAAGAGCTGCTGCCTTCTGCAAGTGAGGCAGTCTGGGGGACAGTGGGAAGGAGGGGGCAGGTTTAGTTCCTGGAGTGTTTCCCTATGTATGGGAGTGACTGGTGGGTACAATCACTGTGCTGTGGATGGAAGCTTTGAAGGAAGTGACGGCTGAGAAGTGGCATGGAAGGAAAGAATGGGGAAAACGATCTGCTGTTTGCCTCTGAGCATCTCTGACTCGCAAGAGGACACTGCAGACTAAAGACATTTCTTATAAAACAACAAACCTCCTCCCTGTATCACTCCTGCTCATTAGTCCAGACAGTACTGGGCCAGCCACATCGGGTGCATTTCTTTTTTTCTTCCTTATTTCTGTGTGGCTGACATAATAGGAAAGCAAGTGGAACTCATGATCCAGAGCTGGAGTTTCGTTGTCCACAGACCTTTTGTGCATCATCTGCCTCTTCAGCTGGACATGTGGACGATGATGGTGTAGATGCTGCTGCTACTGCAGGGGTCCCACCTGTTTTCTTGCCCTGCCCACCACACCCCGGCACGGAGGGACAGCCAGAGAGGCGCCATGTACAGAACCGCATCGATTTCTGCTTTGTTTTCTGACTCACAACCCTGCCCCAGTGACTACGACAACAACAACAACAACAAAAAAAGGGCAAATGCATTTTTTACATTTCTTGATAATTTCCAAAGCAATGTATCATTGCTTTCTTTAGACTGACGCCAATATAACAGTTGTATGGGTCTCAGCCAGGCTCCTGTGTCTTTTCTGCCTGAGTTTCAGATTGCTGTATGAAATGTATGCGCGTTTGCACACAGACACAACCGGACGAGGTGGCGGCACCCCGAGCCCGTGGGGTCGGTCACCTGTGTCACAGATGGAGTTGGAGGCCTTGCTTCGTACGTGTAGATGAGAAATCCCAACCCCACTGGTCCAGGGAGCTGAAGTGAAGCAGCCCTACTGAGACAGAACTGAGTATCCTGAGATACATCCATGGTCCTGCTGTGCCTGTCTCCGCAGCAGGGGCGGTGGCGGGGAGAGGAACACTGAATGGGGAATTTGGAGCACAATATTGAAGTAGAATCCAGTCGGGGGTTTCTGGTAGCAGTGAGATTTTATCTGTTCCCATAATGAAAACTGTAATGCATATAAAGAAAACATTCCAGGCCATCAGAAGCCCCAATTCCCATCTTGCTAACGTGAGGCTGGAGGGCATTAAAGGCCAAGGAGGCTGTATTGATGCAAAGTATGTGGGAAACAGAACTGGGCCCTGAAAAAATTAATTACATCTTTCCCCCATTTATTTTCTTCTTCAAAGAAGTCTAAGAAAGACAATTCTCAATAGCTGCACAGGGTGTCTTTTTTTCTTCTTTTGAATGTTGTGAAACTTCTAAAGTTTTATTCTGGGTGAGCAAGCCCAGGGATCCAGAAGGTTTCCAATGGGATCTCAGTCTATGGAGCTTTTATCTCTGTTCCTGCTTTGTTTCTGGAAAGCTGAAACCACTCTGACCTTGCTGCTAAAGCTCCCTGAGGTTGGGTGGGTGCGGGCAGAAGCACAGCAGGAGATACGTCCTGTTCTGAAGACAGATTGGGCTCCAATTGCTTTGAGAAAACTCAGTAGCATGACACTGGAATGGGAAAAAAAAACCCTCTTCTGATACAAACTTTAGTGTTCTAGTTAAATTCTCCATTCTTCTCCTCCCCCTTACAGGGAACTTAACACTTGAGCATAAAAACCAGGCCTTCTTTAGGGGCACAGGGCTGGACTCAGTTGCCTAAACGTGGGTGTCCACTGTCACTTGAGACACTGTAGAGTATCTTCTGCTAGGTCTGCCACAGATGGTGGAGGGAGGCACAGCTCTGGCCCAGGCAGGGCTAATGTCACAGCCCTCAGCCCCAGAGGATGGCAGAGATCTCAGGTGGCAGGGGACAATTAGGCAACTTAATCAAGTCCCTTTCTAAAGGGCTAATTGAGAGGAGCAGCACCAATGAATGATGTAATGAGGGAAACTTCATTAGCATTACCAAGGGCTTAGTTAGGCAGGATCAGGAGCTTGTCTCCACACTCCCATGCTGTTGTTTTTCTACCCCATGTCAGGCACTCTGCCTCCACTCCTGTGGCCTGAAGTTGGCAGCGCTCTGCCCAGTCCTTTCCTTAGGCCAGGATTAGTGGCTGCATCCCAGGCCCAGGGGAGCAGGAACAGGCCCAGGCAAAAGCAGGCGTCACTCCACTCAATCACAGATTTTTCTGCCAGCGTTCTAACAGCCCCTTTCCAAAGCTTTTTCCTATTTGAGACAGAACCACAAACTCAGACACCATTTGTTGGCATCATCATTCAGGTGATTAAATACCTGTGTTTTTCTGTTAGCTCTTTCCCAATTAGGCTGAAATGCTTTCAGTATTTTAAGCATCCTAAGTCAGTCTGCTCCCATCTCAAGCACTTAGGTAGACTGGCAGCCAATACTATCTAAACATCATCAACTTCATGATTGCTCGTAGAAATGATTGTTTCAAGCTTACTTAGTCTTAACAGTTTGAATGTGGGAAGATTTTGGAGGAGGAGGAGTGAGATTGTAAATATCTCTGACAAACACTGCTGCATCACACACAAAAAAAAAGGGGAGATACTTATAAAACTGCCTTAAAAATCAATTCCGAATGATGAATCTCCCTCCAAACAATTGCCGCTTGATAGAGCAAGGGATGAGTCACTTTGGGTGAATTCTGGCAAGAAGTGGTTGGAATTTAGTCTGGTTTCAGGAGCAAAAGTGTAATTTAGGAGCTGATCTCTCACTCAGTCTGAATTCACATCAGCACCAAGGACTGAGCACTGCAGGATCCAAAGGGTTTAAGGACTGGTGGGTGCTGTCTGTGCATGGTTTGGGTCTGGCCTGGCAGGTACTGAGTACTGGTGTCTCCCAGTGACTTCAGGGAAGATGGGGTTCTTCAGCACCTCTTGAGTTCAGGCCCTGGAGCACCATTTCCTGCTCTGATCATCAGCTATAAATGTTGATAAATATAAGTGTTTTGCCTTCATTTGAATTGCCCAGAGCTGTAAAATGACCTCTCTCAAGTATAAATCAGTCCAGATATAAACCTCCTCTCCCACTCTTCCCTACACTCCCTGCCCACCTTCCCAGCCCTCCCTCGCATCTCCACCCAAGCCCTTCCCTGTCTCAATTCTTTACCTCCTTCCACACTTTTATATCTAGTTTTCATGAACCCACAGAAATGCTTTTGTAAATACTGCTGTACAGTTTGTAACCGTCATGTAAGCCTGTCATCAGTGCCAGAGTCCGTCTTGCCCTCTCGCACGTTTTAAAATCAACAGAGGAAAGTTAGAGCGAATGGCCCGCCAGTGAGCTATAGGGTCATCTCTGTGTGGGACAAATGTATATTCCTGTAAGATTGCATTTTTATCTAAGGAATGATGTTATTTTAAAATTGCTAATAAATTTCTAAACAATGTCCAGATTTGTTCAATATTGTAAATGGTATCAAAACTCCTTTGACATTGCTCCCTCCTACCAGCAGTGGCTGAAAATTAAAGACAGCTTCCTGCAGCCCCTTATTTCTCACTGCCGTTCAGGGGCTCTTGTCCCTATTTAAGGGGCTGCAGAATGGTCTGGACAGCCACAGCCTGCCCTGCTAAACAGCAATTTAGGAAATCCAACCACTCTCTGTAGTGCTGTCACCACAGAAATTCTCCCGTGTCACAATGTCCAATGTGTGACTCACACACAGCCACACACTTAACATTTTCTCTACTGGATTCCTTCTTACCAAGCATATGCAACAGAAAATGAATGCCCTCAGCTTAAATACAGTGTAATTAGTATATACATAAGCCATGAAGCTAATGGGATGATAACAAGTAACGTTCCACACATTCGCTTGTCAATTGAGCAAATTTGTTCTACCATGGTTATCAGGAAATTACACTGCAATGCCAGCTGAGCACTGTGTTTGTGTCGCAGCATTATAAACCACAGTGCACTCAGCCCAAGCACATCAGTCTAAGATTCAGTAAATAATGCCTAAAGAAAAAAGAATGGATTTTTTTTAAGTTACACATATACATATAAGTACTTTTCCCTGACTTGCACTCAACTGTCAGAACTGCAGGCTTTGCTGCTACTATTAAATAGTGGTGACACAAAATGTTAAAACCCAGGAGGTGATGAAAACCTGTAGATGTCATCAGTGCAGGGCAGAAGGAATGGCAGAAGGATCACCAACAGAAACCTCATTATCTGCAGGCTCAGACTGGCCACCAGTTAGACATTTGCCACCACAAAACCATACAAAACCACTGTGCTGTTGGTCAAAGCCCAGCAAAGGGTTCAGCTTTGCTGAAAAACTCCCTGAGCTGGCAACTCAGCTGAGCTACAGCTCTGTGTGAGACCATTAGGTGAAATCCATAGCAAAGAACAAGTGACAGTGGCTGTGGGCATGCTGCTGGGTGAAATCAGTGTGAAACCTGGAGTGAAACTTGTGAGACAGCTGAAACAGGGCGAGCATGAGGAACAAGTAACAGGTTTGCACAGTCCGCTGTGAAGTGGATGCATTTAGAACAGCCCCACAACTGGAAAAGCAGAGCATACACTTACAACGCTTTTTGTTCAGCTGCTGCAGAGCGCTGCTGATGTGACTTTTTAATGCTCAGGGGCATTTACCCGATTCAGAGACGTGCACTGGGAGTTCCACCTCAACATGAGGAAGAACTTCTTTAGGTCCAGGGTGGCAGAGCCCTGGAACAGCTGCACAGTGAGGGTGTGGAGTCTCCCTCTCTGGAGACATCCCAAACCCACCTGGACGCGTTCCTGCTCCAGGTGAATCTGCCTGGACAGGGGTGTTGGAGTGGATGATCTCCAGCGATCCCTTCCAACCCTGGCGATTCTCTGATGACACCTCGGCACCCTCCCGCTGACCCGCGAACACGAAGGCGACCCCAGCTCGAAGAAGGTTCGGCTCTTTAACCCCAATCTCAGTCCCGGCGGGGAGGAGCCGCTCGGCGTTCCCGCGGCCCGGCCCAGCCCAGGCCCGGCCCGCTGGCTCCGGCCCCACACGGCCCGGCGGGCGGGCCCGTCCCGGCCCCTCCTCAGGTGCGGCCCCGCCCGGCCCGAGCCCGGAAGCGCCGGCCGGCGGTGCGGGGGCGATGGCGGGCGCGGGGCCGCCGCTGCCTCTGCTGTTCCTGCTGCTCTTGCTGCTGCCCCGGCCGGCCGCGGCCCTACGGCTGCTGCTGGACGCCGCGCCGCCCTTCACCTGCTCGCAGCCGGTAAGCGGCGCCGGACCCGGGCGGGCGCGGGGAACCGGGATGGCGGGACGGGAGCGCGGGCCCAGCCGGTGCCGGTGTCGCTGTCCCGGGCAGTATCGGTGTCCCGGGGAGCGCTGCACATCCCGCTGCGTTCCCCGGGGCACAGGTCCGGGCCGTGTGGGTGCCCCTGTCCCGGGCCGTGTGGGTGCCCCTGTCCCGGGCCGTGTCTCTCTCCCAGGCAGTGTCCCTGTCCCGGGCCGTGTCTCTCTCCCAGGCAGTGTCCCTGTCCCGGGCCGTGTCGGTGTCGCTGTTGCTGTCCCGGGGAGCGCTGCACACCCCGCTGCGTTCCCCGGGGCACGGGCTCAGGCGGTGTCGCTGTCCCTGTCCCGGGCCGTGTCCCTGTCCCGGGCCGTGTCGGTGTCGCTGTCCCGGGCAGCGCTGCACTCCCCGCTCCGTTCCCCCGGCCTCTCAGTGGGCCGGGGCTGAGCCGCGCTGGAAGTGCCCTCTGGTTCCCGAGCAGGATGTGAGTCTTTGCTAAGAGCTGACGTTGCTCAATGTCCTAAAAGTTTTAGCCGGCTCTTTGTAGCTGAGGGTTTTTTAGGAGAGCGCGGGGGATTAAACATTACACGTACCCGAGGTTTTTGAACAGGCAGATTTTGGTTTTGCCTTTTCTCCCTGTGAAACCGGCCAGACATGAGCTGCCAATGCAGCGTCTCTGTAAAAGAAAACGAACTTTCAGTTTGAACTAGTGGCTCTCTCTGGTGGTTTTTGAGGATTGTTTTGGATTTATGTTTGTTCCTTTTTTGTTTTGGGGTGATTTTTTTGTTTCGGATACATGTGAACGGTGCGTAGAAGGGAGAAGAGATCTACTTTTGCTTTAATTCTGTTAATAGCAGTGAGAAGAAAATGGGCAGCTGTCATCAAAGCTGGACAGCTTTATATGCCATGGTGCACTTTCAGCTGTCTGAAAAAGGCAGATAGGTACAGCTATAGATAAATGTAAAACAAAACATATATCGGATTAAAGCTTCTATAATCTTTTCCTGTACACATTTCCTATCTTTTGTCTAGTCTGACACTTCTCCTAATGTTTGACTATATCCTTGCCTCTGTTTTACCAGACCTCTGCTCTGCTGCCTTCTCTCTTATTTAAAGACGCCCCAAGAAAACATACCAGTTCTGCAGTTTTGCTTTACGCTGGACATTGTTGAATTACAAAATGTAAAAGGAAAATTACAATATTGCTTAGGCATCTCAGGTAACCATGAATCCCAAACCTTGTTAGTCACAGAGATTGACAGTAATATATTAAAGACTCTCTGCAAGTCCTTGGATGGTTGGGCTCTGACTGACTTGATCTTGCTGTCTGTCCCTCTTTTTTTTAGGAAATGTGACCACAGTAACTGGGTGAGGGGTTCACCAGGGCATCACCAGCTTTCACAGAGGAGCTGTGTTGCCCCACACTCTGGTGTGCACACAGAGCAGTGAATGTGCAGGGCTGCTACATTGGCCCTTTCTATAAAAAGCCAATTTTCAAAGTGCAGATAAACTTAAGAAAAAGGAGTCAGCCTAAGCCCGGGAGCAGCCTCTTTAAGCAGTTGTGAAGCTGCTGACTCATATAGGAAAAAGCCCTATCAACTGCAGCTGTGACAGTTAAAAACAGTTCCCCCTTCCCTTTCTGTGGGTTGCACTGTTATCAGAGGAGGATGATTCAGTAACCCTCCCAACGTGTGGCTGTGCTGTGGGTCAAAAGTCGAGCTGCTGCTGAGCAGGGTGGGTGAGACCCACTTCCTTTGTTTAACCCACCGAGCTCAGGCTGCTGTTGCTGAGCTTTGGAGCAGGTCAGGCTGAGCCACAGCAACTTCCTCAGCAGAACCCTTGTGTGGCAGAGATTGTCTGGGAGATGGAGTGGTGGAGGGAAAGTGTCATATGTAGTAGCAGTGAGCACCTGCAAGGAAAACTAAATGCTTGTTAACAGCTCATCTTATTAAAATGCAAAAAAAAATGCACTTAATGGGCATTATTCACCACCACTCCATCAAACGTGCTCAGCTCTAAGGCTGAATAGCACAGCTGCAAATCCAGTTCTTACCAGTCACCATTGCTTGAATATCTCATCTGCAGGGGCTTTTTTCCTGTGTGCAGGGGAAGAACATCCCACAGCTTAAATACCCGTCTATTTTTTCACCATCAAGTGTTAAATCACTGTGTTCAGTTGTTGTGCTGTAATTGTTTTGGGATGTGGCATGCCTGGGTGTCCTGGAGGAATGCAGTGTTTATAACTCTGCTGTCTTTGAGGGACTAGATAGCTGTACATAATTTGGTCTCTGAAATTTATCTTGCCAGCTTGCTTCTCTGGAAGTCTCTGGAGAAGAATTGATGTAACATCTCTCATGAAGACAAGCCATGGTGGTGCATGTGAGGATGACTTTTCTCTGATCTCCTTTGCAAATGTGTTCATTTTGCTCTTGCTATTGACTGACTTCTGTCATTCCCTTCTGTGGCATCTTTCTGCTGTGTAGGATGCTAACATAACCCATGATCACTGATCAAAACTGTGAAAATATGATAAAAACAACTTTAGAAATTACTGTTTTGAAGAAATTGTAACTTTTGAATTTGGATTTGGTTTTGCTGAGAATTGGTATGAGGGCAAGGCAAAAAATTAGAAATGGTAGGGAAAAATGCTTAAAAAAATGAAAACAATTTTGTAAAAGATGCTGGTTTCCTACAAGTCTTAAACAAACCATTCTTCAGCATTTATTCCTGTAATGTGTTCATGTGTTAATCTCTGCTCCTTCTTACTAAGGAGTTGGAAAAGGGAAACTGCAGTAAACTTCAAATCATCCAAATCTCAGAAGATACATAGAATGGTTCAAAGGTGAAAGGCAGATTTTGGAAAGCTGGAGCTCTTCCCATTCAGCAGCCACTCTTTAAAGGAAAACTGGATACTTGCCTGGCTCACAGTGGTTTCTCTCTAGCTACTATAGCATCCTGCTGGGAAATCTTTGCCTCCCATTACTTTAATTGAATTTTTATGGGATGGTGCTGTTAATCAGTTTCCCAGGTTTATTTCATTCAGATTCATAAGGTTCTCTGCAGCATATGGTGTGTTCTTTTATGTCAAAAGCAAAACAAAAATCATTTTAAGAGAGTGAAAGAAACAGTTGCTTAGCTTTTTGTGAAAATACAGCAAGTAAACATGAAGAGTTGACTGTTCCTGTCCTGCTGAGAATAGTTTCAGCATCACCTCACAATCATCTGCTTCTCATATTTATGCCTATATATTTATGCTGATTTAAGCCCAGTTGGCATGTAAGCCCCACATAGCCACTCACCTACTCCCCCACCACTGGGATGGGGAGAGAATCAGTGAGAAAAATTGTGGGTTGAGATAAAGGAAGTTTAATAAGTAAAGCAAAAGCCATGCATACAAGCAAAGGAAAACAAGGAGTTGTTTTTTACACTTTCTGTGGGCTGGCAGGTGTTCAGCTGCCTCCAGGACAGCAGGAGTCCATCATGCATAACAATGACTCATGAAGACAAACACCATCACTCTGAACATCCCCCTCTTCATCTTTCTTCCCCCAGCTTTATGTGCTGAGTTTGATGCCTTACAGCATCCCTGTAGGTGGTTGGGGTCAGCAATCCCAGCTGTGTCCACTCCTGATTCCTGCACCTCCAGCCTTCTGGCTGGCAGGGGTGTTACAGAAGCAGGAATGGCCTGTGCAAGCCTTGCTCAGCAAGAACAAAAGCATCTGTATGTTATCAACACTTTCCAGCCCAAATCCAAAACACTGCCCCATACCAGCTACTGGGAAGGAAATTATTCCGGCCAAAACCAGCACACTCATGTAGGGAAACTAGGTTAAATACTTCTGCTGTCCCCAGCTTTGTAAATGCACTCTGGATGAGCCAACACATCAAAGTAAGGTTTTGTGTTGGTAGGACCTTTACAAGGGAAAACCAACAAGTTTTCCCTCAGGTACTGAAGAGGTAGCCAGTGCAAATATGACACTGGTTGACTTTGCTCTAATTGCTTCCTGGCTTTTGAATGTCATTGTCTGGAGCTACACTTTTTGGTACAACAGTGTGCCCTAAGCTGCTGCCCAGATCTGTTCACCTGAGTACTCTACGAAAAGGAGATGGGGATTTTCATGGCAAGTCCTTTCTAGGATTTGCCTTTCCTTGAGCTTCTTATACCTTTGCCTGCAGTGTGGCTTTATCTTTGCTTGTCTTTGCTTCCTTATGCCAACAGTGAGGACTTCTGTGTGGATGAGTTGTTCTTAGGAGCATTTCAGCTCTTGGGTCATCTCTGTAGTGCTTTGGGGACGGGGAAAGGAGTGGACCAAGAAGTTAATTGTTGCCTTGTAGTAGGAGAATCCTTCCCTTCTTCTTGTGGCAGACCTGCTAAATGCTTGACTACCTGATGGCAACTTAAAATACTTCAGTATAGGCAGCTACACATTAAAAAAGTTGCTGGCACAGCAGGTAAACAGGTTAGTGCAGGGTAGGAGAAACACATGTGTAGGTAGTCCTTTGAAAAGCCTGAGTGGGGTTGGGGAATGGGGGTATACAGCAGATAAAATACTGTTGTTTTTCCCCGTAAAAACCCAGTGTTGAAAAGTAGGAAAGGCTTTAATTACCAAGTGTCGGTTCTGAATCCTTATCAGCAGACAGATGGCTCCTCATTGAGCACTGGAGTTTTTAATCCATGTCAGAAAGGGCACAACAACCTCATCAAAGCTGGAAACATCCTTGTGAGCACTTCACCTGGGATAATAGACCTGGAGGAAGAGAGGATCCATTTGTACTCTGTGCTAGATCAATATTCATATTGAGCATTAAACAAGAAAGGGGAAATGCAGCATTTCCTCCCTTCATGTGCTGTCAGCTATGACGCAGAACACCAGCACTCAAATGAAAGCAGATGTTGCTGCTCTTCTGGCTAATAATGCCTTAGATTTTTTTATAAGGCCTTTGTTGTGATGCCATGTACAATAATTACTGATAACTGTAACAGAAGGACAAAATGACTGAATATTAAGTGATAGGCTTTAACAGAAATCATTACATTAGAAAAAATCCCTATGATTAGTAGCCAGTTATTTTTGTTTCCTCTTGAGGGTTCATTCCAGAGCAGCCATTCACTCTTTGTCCTCAGTGGAAAGCACCAAAGAGTTGCTGTGAAGAAAATTAACTCTGTCTCAGATAAAACCACTGCACCTTTTTACATAAGGGGCTTTGTTAGGCCACTTAATTTACTTTAAAAAGTCTGATTAAGGGACTGAAGTGTTAGGACTAATTTTTTTTCATAGCTTAATCCATTCTTCCATACTGGTACTCACAATTTTTACTTTTCTCTTTTTCAGTGATTGTAGTTAGCCAGTTTGGGTTTGGTTTCATCAGCATTTGCTTCTTTGCTTTCCATTTCTTTTTTTTCCCCATTAATGAAGGATTTAGGTTGCAGGTGCTGTTTTTCAATATACCTCTATCTCAGGTGCATTTGTGGTACAGTAATTGGAGTGTAGATGTGTTTCTTGTGAAGGGTGCCTGAAGGCTGGATTCATACCTGTGTGTATTGTTGTGACTTGTGTAGCAAAAGCCTGGAAGAGATTTTCAGGTTTTATTTTTTATATAAGAAGCATGAGGAGCTTAGTGCCAGATCTTCCTGCTTTTTCTCCAAGTTTGCAGGAGCACAGATATATTTGCTGAAATGTGAGCATTAATCTCTGAAGTATTTTCATTACCAAAAAGGCACAGCTGGTTTGTTCAAGCACCCTTCCCTAAAAATGTCAATATGCCCTTGGACACTAAGCCCCAAATACACTTGGAGTTGACCTGAGGAAGTTGTAGAGAGTTTAAAAACCTAATTTCAAGCACCCTTCCCTGCTCCACTGAAATGAATTACATGATGGCAATGGTATGACAATAATACCCATCTTTATTTGTCATGGCATAGGAAATGAGAGCAAACCTAGCCCTCCTCTTGATTTACCATCTCAGTGACAACTTCAGGCTCCCTTCTCACTGGGATTTTGCATCACACTAACCAAGCAAGCTGACATGCTTCTCCCTGGTGACCATGGGGGCTTCCAGTATAAACAAAACATCACTGGGAGAAGCCAGGTGGAGCCCACATAACTTCTGGTTGCTTCTTTATGATCAGGGCATCTTTATTCTTAATAAGAAAGTGTCTAATTGTGATGAATTTTTCACACAGTGGTGTTTGATCATAGGTTGGACTGGATGATCTCAGAGATGTCACATAAGTTGTGCCCAGCTTTTATGCCCTTTGTCTTTGGTTTTTTGATTAACAGCTCAGTCCAGTGCTTCCATCATGGTTAATTCTCCCAATTTGTGTGCGTCACTGAAGTGCTTTTTCCTGCCCCTTTCCCAACACTGAGCAGAAGCAAGTTGCTCTCAATTTTATTCTCTGAGTAATATTCTTGTTTCTTTCCCCCACAGGATTTAAACTGTCTCGTAAGAAATAGTAAGTATTTTTTTTCTTTGTTGCAGCTTTCTCATCAGATCATGCTTTTTTTTTTTTTTCTGTTTTTCTTTTCTTTTTTTAACTGGGTTCATACAGCATGTTTTTTCCTGCTAGAATCAGAGAGTTGTAAAGGGAAACACTGCTATCATGCCTTGCTTTGGGATTTTCCAGTTTGATCCATTATAAGCTCCAGCTAGAAGAGGAATGGAAATTTATTTCTTTTTTGAGATAGAGTTTGGGGGTAGGCAGTGGCAGAGTAGAACCCAACCCGACTTGTTTAGTTTCTGTTTAAAGCTGGGATTATCCATTTTTAAAGAAATGGGAATTTAAGGACAAGTTTGCCAGTAAATGTTCATTACAAGCCATTATGATAGTACTTGATGAAGAATTAATGTATGAACTAGAATTTTAAAAGGGGCATAGAGGGGTGCAGTTGAGAGCAATTAATGCAAATTATTGGGTGTAAGGGGTCAAGTCTTAGCAATGGCATGCATCTGAAAGACTTTAATATAATTATGGGTAATGTTCTGAAAAATGTTGCTAAAAAAAAAAAAACAGGACAATATTTTGAAATTGTCCATTTGGTACCTGGAGGTAACTGGGCAATGCTGCAGAGCTCCTTGGCTTTTCCTTGCAGCCCTTGTTCTAAGCAAGCTCATTGCTGCCTCAATGCCCAACCCTGTGTCACACTGGCACAAGTCTTTTTGTAGCCAGTAGTATTTCTTGCAGTGTTTCTGTTTGACTTGACAGATCAGGGAGAGGACTATGCTGAGAATAACCAGATTTAAAACTTCTTTGGCAGGAGAGGGCTTGGGTGGAATCAGGTTGGATGATATTTCCCACTGGCACACAGCCACTGGAATACAACTCTACAAAAAGGCTGAGCCAAACTGCAGCACCAGTATTAAAATCCTGCCTAAGTTAAATATTTGGTTTAAATTCTGCCTTACGGCTCTTGTTACGTTTCTCTGCTCTAGGGGAAATCTGTTTTCTTTAGTGTTTAGTACACTCTTTGCTGAAAGGTACTTTATTCCTGCTGGGCTTTTTATAGATATCTTTTATAAAATGAGCATTTGAGGTTTGTCTAATTACTCCTAAGCCTTAAACCATACTGTTTGGCTGAAGGGATAGTGCCCACTTGCCACTGCTTCCATCACATATACAGCAAAATAGACCCAAAGTACTTTAGGGGGCCTGACTGTGCTGTTTTTAACGTGCTCTGAGAAGTCAAATGTGTTACAAAAGCATAAGTAGATCTTGTCTGTCTGATGCCTGTCATACCTGATTTCACTTTCTAATGACTTCACAGGACCAGTTTTCCCCAACACTGTGTTGAGAAGCACAGTTTATTTTTCTGTCCAGGAAGTTCATTAATTTAGGCAAGGCATAACAGGCAGTTGTTGGAAGCTGAATTCAGGTGTGTATTCAAATTTGAGGAAAAGCAGTTTGTAGACCCAAGGTAATTAACTATTGGAACAATTTCCCTGAGTATCTGATGGATTTCTTATCATTGAAAGGCTGGGTTAGCACTAACATAGGTCTGTTTCTGCAGAAGGTTGAAGGAGATACTGAGCAAACTTACTTGACCTGTTTAGCCTGACTACATTGATTGTGACACGTACTAATGGATTTTAAGGAAAAGAGGAAGTGGAAGTTACTAGCATGAATTCAGATTATTACAGGCAATTTACAGAGTACTTTCATACTGAAAACTGCTTTTCTGAGCTGGAAGCAGTCTTCCACCCAGTTGTCCTCTTAGAGTAACCCTGACCCAAAGAGCAAATCATAGTTGCAATTAAGCAGAGCTTCCTCAGCCCCACTCTAAATGTGAGTTTCCTTTGCTGGACAGGCACCTGCATGGAGTCGAGCTGGCTGAATATTGCTGCGTGGACTCCTTCTGCTCCAAGCAGTCTCCACGTTTCTTCAGATGTTTTCCGTCAGGAGGATGGAAAACTCTTCCCTGTGCTTCACATAGAGTGGAAAGTGGCCACGGATGGTAAGTGGTAGTTGTTTAATTTGAGTATGGAGCAGAGGAAATAGGTGTCATCTAGTAAGGATAGAGAGGAGAATTATGACTTCAAGTTATTAAAGCTGAAATTTTTGTTTGGTGGGTGTAATCTCCTCTTTGTGTGCCTTGATAAAGCAATAATTGTGTCATTGTTGGAGCCTAAATGACTACCAATAACAGTCTCACTGCCCAGATAGCTCTGATTGGTTGTCTGTAAATGATGCTTCCCTTGCATACTCTTGTCCAAAGTTTTGCACTGCTTTAGGACAGAATTAAACACATTTGTTTCTTCCTTCTGCAGGGCCTGTGTCTGAGGGTTGTAGAGTTATGATCTCTAGCTATGGTAGTGTAGGAGCAGGTGTGACTCAGGTAACCCAGTCATTTCACTCAGCTGTGCTTGTCAGCTCTCTCACTGCGACCGTGTGTACCAAAATAAAGACGTGTTTGCTTTGGCACCCAAACTGCACGAGGCAGCTTTGAGAGGCAGAGCTAAACACAATACCACACCTGGGGAACTGCCAGGCTGTGTGGAGAATGCAGTTGCTTTCTCCTTTGCTCCTTCATTTGCACAGATGTAGTTTTGCCATGCAGGACCTTAGGCTGAAAGTGCTGTTAGTCAACCCTGCACGCTCGCTTTTCTGTGACCAGTTATGCTGGCATCTCAGCACCTCAAAGGAGTTAGAATGTGGCAAGGCAAGGCACAGTGGTGCTCTCAGAGGGGGCTGCAGCCTCTCCATGTGCAGAGGAGAGGGAAAGGTGACAATATCCTTCTGTCCCTGTGCCTGCAGCCAGCATTCGCACTCTGGAAGGGGCAGAGCTCGCCGTGATGCAGGTGAACAGCAATCAGCAGATCTGTGCCCAGTTTGACTTCCAGAACAATTTGCCTCTTCAGGTCCGTCCAGATGGAGGCAGGGTGAGTGCAAAGGGCTCCAAATTACATTTTCTACTCCCTGGAATTGTTTCTGCTTTCACTGTTTTATGATTATTGATTAAAATGTACAGACTGCTTGGAGTCTGTATTGGACTTGGGATCTGCTGTCATTTCCCATCTCTCTTTCACTCCTCCCATCCTTCAGGTTTTAGGAATTACTGCTTTTAGTTCCTAGCATGTGTCATCTCTCTGGAAGTTGCTTAAAGCAAATAATTGTAGGGGTTCTTGCATTCTGCTTGACAGCATGACATTTCATAGTTTTTAAACTAAACTCTTCCTATTGCTTCCACTTCTTTCTTGTACTCTCTTGTTGTGGAGGAAAGCACCAACCTTGGGGGTGGTCCTTCAGCTTACACTCCTTCTAGGAAACTCATCAGAAAAGTGCTGAGCATACACAACACTAAGGAATATAAACAATAAGGAGTTCATTCCTTAATCAAACAGAATTTGGCCTTAGTTAGCTTACACTGACCAAACACCACTGGCCTAGGAGCCAGTGCCTCTCCCAGAATTTGCACAGCATTGCTGATGCAGAAAGCAGTATAGATTAAAGAATATATGTATGGAATGGCCAGGTACAGAGCTACATATGTATAAATGCAATTCTAAATGCTTAGCACTTGCTCAGTGCTACAAAATTCATACTAGACTGAAATTTCCATCTTGAAACTGCATGTTTTATTCCAGTCTCCTTTCAGCTCAGAATATAGTTTGGTGGAAATTCCACACAGTGGTTTGGCATAAAACTGTTGTATCAGCTCAAAGATCCCAAGAAAAAGCTAGTTCTAAACAGAAGAATTTAGGCAGACAAAGAGATGGGTATATTTAATACACTTGAGTTCCAATTTTTTTATAGTCATGCTTCAGTAAAAGGGTTACATGGGATGAGGGAACAGGGCCAAGCCAGGTGTTAATTTCAGTGCCTTAAAGAACAACATTGTCATTTAAGGTCCTTGTGGATGTGTTTTGTTTTCAGTGGAATTTCACTTTTGACCGTTTTGAAGTAGAACCTGGCCAGACTTACCAAGTGACTGTGTATCACCTGCCCAAACTGGGCGTGAATGGAGACCGAAATTGCAAGTCCACGTCTCTCACAATGCCTGGTAAGAGGTGATTTAGTTCACTGGGGCCTTGAGTTATCAATGTGGTGGTTTGTGGACCTGACATCACTGCTGCTTTTACTTAATTTAAAATCTTTCAAACTTGCCCCTCTGCTTGTGGCAGCTGGAAGTACAGGTCAGAATTTCCAGATCAGAGGTTTGGTTTCTAGTAGTAAATCCTAGACATGTGAAGTTCAATTTCAAAGTCACAGTTAGGCATAGTTTACTAAGAAACTTGGTAGTGCTGGATGCCTAACCCTTCCTTGTACATGGGAAAATTTTCCTATTGCTAAAAGAATTTTTACTGTTTTTCCTAAGGTTGCTGAGCATCTGCATTGCCCTCTGGCTGCACTGACTACTTCATAAATATTCGGTGCTTAATACAGATCTTGTAAACTGGTTCCTAACTTTGTCCTTAACTTGTTTAGAGTTATCAACCTGACTTTGTAGTTATAAAGTGGCAAAGAGTGGAGTGTGTCAGTCAATGTGAGCTGGAAAAGGAAAGGGAGCACTTCATTTTCAACCCTCTTACCCTTTCTTCTGCCTGTTCACACTAAGAACTTCCTGGCTTTTATCCTGTAGTATTCTTCAGGAACATAATGCATGATGTCAAGATCAACAGCTGCAGGGAGCTTTCTGGTTAGAGCTTACACATGAATTGCAGAGACAGTATTAATTCCTAAACTTTGTAAAGTCTAAATTGGTAACTTTGCAAGTTGGAAATTTGAGATATGCAATGCTTTATCTCAACTGTCTAAGCAGGGAGTTGTTCCTTTTCCTTTGTCCAAACCCTGGAGGAGAGATACAATTTAAGGTTGAGAGTTGTAAATCCCACATTCCTAAATGTTGAATATGTAACTCTAGATTTAACTCTGAAGGAAGTCCCAAAGAGCAGGGCCAATCTGCTAAATTAAGGGAATTAGAAATGTGGAAGAGTGTTTTAGGATTAAGAAAGATTCCAGCCTCCTGATTTTTCTGTGTCAGAATGCCTTTGGAGGAATCTCCTGCTGAGGTGTGATTACAAGGTGTGGGGATGAATATGAAGTTTTAATTACACTATTGTGACCCTTTCTGCACCAGTGTTACATTATCACTCTACTATTAAGTGTGGTATGTTTTAGTCTCATTCATTTTCTCTGTTCAAAAGAAGAACCAAACACACCATGACATCAGTGAAGGGACTGGTTTATGTGCTGGAAACCAGTACTGTTCTTCTGCAGAATTTTGCCACTGCTTTGGAACAAAGGTGTCTCTTCATTTAGGAGAGCTGGGTTAGGTCTCTGGCTTCTGATAAAAAAATGTGTTTTTTTTCCTTAATGGAAGTACAGTGTTTCTGACTGGTGGTCTTTCTTGCAGGCTGCATGGATTCTCGGATGAAAAGAACCATCCCATGTATAAAGACAGGTAAAAATTGTTCAGTCACATAGATGTGAGTTCTCTGTTGGAATATTTGACAGTTGAGAAACTGAGGAATATCTGCCCTATTTCCAGGCAGCTTGTGGGAGCCCAGGATCCGGGGTGAAAGTCTAGATGATACAACTCTGCTCGTGAGCTTCAACCCATGGATGGAGCCAGCCCGGTACCAAATCCATGTGGCCAGTTACCTGAATGAGAAGAGGTGTAAAATGACCACAAAGGATTTCACAGAGGTAGTTACCTTTCCCAGTCATACCTTCTCTGGAGATTTAGGCAAACATCTTAAATGCTTGCTAAACCAGGACATTTGAACAGCAATTTTCAAGGAATTATTTTTTAAATTGTCTTGAATTTGGTGGATAAAAGATCAAAAAAGAGGTTTTTATAATGCCTGAAGCAGCCTATAAACATCTGCAAAGTTAGATTTTATGTTTGACTGCCTGGGCTTTATTACCTTTTTCAAGCCAATGCCTGGGGAGCTAAGACTAAGTAAATTAACCAAAACTGAGGTGCAAAGTTTCAATAAATCATTGAAGTACTTTATCAAATATGATCACAGGAAGGTGTTAATTAATTTTTTTATATAAAGAATGAGTGATTTAGTAACAGATGCTTCGTTCAAGCTGAGAATCAATTTCTGTAGGTCTTACGGTCTGTGTTGCTGAGAAGCTCAAAGTGTCCAGACTGTGTTCCAATACAAAAAATGTTTCCCTTCCCTCTGAGGGAGGAGAAATACTGAGTAATTGGAATCACTCTCCACCCTTCCTTGGGTGAGGGCAGATATGTTGGCATTCAGTTTGTTTAATCTTTCTATTCCTTAACACTTTAAACCCTTAGTACTGGATGCACTGATATGATTAAGCTTGCTGACACAGATGGGACAGCTCTGTGAGTATTTTCCTGGTGGAGGGGATTGCACCTCATTTTGGAGTTTGTATCTGCTAATCACTAAAAAATTATGTTATCATGATGCTGACTGTGTACAGCAGGTAGCAAGGGCAACTTGCCTGTTGTAGTGTCAGTATTGACAGCTGCTTTTAATTAAACTAGGAAGCTTGTTAATGTTTACACATTACAAAGCTGAAGACATCTACATTGTTAAGAAACTCTAAGTTTAACTCCTTTGAAGTTGTACCACGTACATCCCTGATTATTTCCTGTTACCTGTGTAATCTTAGCCTGCTGTCTTAATGGTATTACCATGTCATGGTGGCCTTTACCCATTTTGTTCTCTGTGGGCTTCTAGTTCAAAGGAAAAAAAAAGTAGCAGCTTCTGCTTCTTTGGACCACTTTGTGTTTTCATGTCAGCTTTTTCTTTTTTCCTGCTTTCATTCAGTTTTCTTCCTTTCCTTAAAACTTGCATCTGATTTCTGCAGGATGGACTACAACAGCAAGTGAATGTCACAATCAAAATGGACAAGAACATAAAAGCTTGCTGCCACTACAAAATACAGGTGGGATGGCACTGTTGTCTCTGTGTCCTTCCTTACAATCAAGGCAGTGAGCACCTTAGGAATGTTAGGAGCTTTTTTCACAGTGGGTTTTTTCTGAGATTTTTCTAATCTCTAATTACCTGCATCAGGGAAATATTATGGCTGAAAGAATTTTTATATTCTCTGTAGTCAGTGGCTTTTCCTTGGTACAGGGCTGCCAGGTCAGAGATTATGGGAATGAGAGTGGCAAATGTGCAACCTCAGGAGCTCACAGCCTTCGTCATGTATGGTGTAAAAAGTCCTGATTAGTCATGTTTTCTGAAGGGAAATGGGATCTCTGAGTCTCTGTGCTAAAATACAAGGAACATTGAGGCAGTGAGAAAGAAAATCAGAGAACAAACTTTCTTTTAAGAGTAACTTCTGTTTTTCTGGATTCATTTCAACTGCAGATTCAGCCATTCTTTGCGAACTGTGGCACAGACTGTCTGAGACACTCTGCTTCCGTCCCGTGTAAACCAGTTCCAAGTGAGAACCACTTTTCTGTAAATTAGATTCTCATTGTTTTACAGCTGAGAACTGAAGTTTTAACATAACTCTTGTCTTTTGCAGGTACAGAACCATCGGGTAAGAAGTTCTTCCAATACCCTGAAACTTGTTTTGCTGCTCTTCTCCTATTGTGTAGAATGAGAAATGACCCAATGGGCAGGAAATGTCTCTGTTGAAAATTTTATATTATTTGAAAATAGTGAAGTGGACAGTCCATAGATGTGGTGGTGTATGAACCAATCATATTGGGAACCTCCCAAAGCTCCACTGAAACCACAGAGGATGTGAAGATCAGCACGTGGCAACCACTTGGTAACAAAACACCAAACCAACGAAGAGCAAGGGGACCCCAGACCCCAATAATGCTCTTGGTCTGGACTGTCACATGAGTTTAGGTCATAAGGGTTTAATAGTCCAGGGATTTCTTTGTTCAGGGTCCCTCTTTTGAGCCACCAAGCTCAACCAGCCAGGTATCATCATCAATATGTGCCAATAAATCTCTCTGATGGAGATGAGAGCCTGGTGTCTAAAATTTCTTTAACAGTCCCCTTGTAACACTGAGTTCAGAATTAATTGTGCTAAGAATGACTTCACCATGATTTAATGAGGCAAGTATTTGTATGCAGTGTGAACCTTAAAGAGCAATTTTTTGAGAGACACTTCACTTGCATTGAATTCTTTGAGAAGCAGTTTTGACAAGAAGAGTCTTAATATAAAATACTTTCTGTCACTTTGCTCAGTGTTAAAAAATTTGCATAATATAAAGCAGCTTTTGGAGAGAATAGCTTGCATATATTCATTTTTATGAATGTCAAGATAACTTGTGCATAATGATTTGATATCTTTTTTTTTTGGCTGCAACACCTGTAAGGATTTTTTGCACAAGATTAAAAAAAAAAAAAAAGGAAAAACACCTGTAAACTGAAATTGATGACCCAAAATGGTGATATTTTAAATTTTTTTTTAAGCTAGATTACATGAACAGGCAGGACATGGGCGGCATGCCTGTCAAAGCTGGGTAAACATTGCTATTTAGAGGAAGGTTCTTGATCTGTGTTTTCAGTGTGCTGCACATATGGTTCTTTGTGTGGAGCAAGTTTCTGGTGTACAGTAGCACCATGAAAGCAGGAATGGCTTGGAGAAATGCCTGTGGATTGTGAGGGGGAAGCACTGGTCTACTCAGCAAAGCCAGGGTCCTCCTCCCTTGGCCTCTGATGCTTGAGAACCTTTTGCTCTTTGGTGAAACTCAGTGGCAGGCAGTGTCTGAGGAGTGTTTTTGTTTTGCAGGTGATATGATATGGCTCTACTGGTGTATCACTGGGATCTGTGTGTTACTGGTGGTGTCAGTCATCACAGCTGTGCTGTGTATGACTAAAATACGAGCAGGTGAGACTCATACCAGCCAGGAAGAAAAAATCCAATGCTAAAGAATATTTTTTCCTCCTTCTTTACCTACTCCTATTGTTATTTTGTTCCTTGCTGTTCTCATGCCTTGCCCCTGAGATAATGCCTATGAAAACATCTTCTGTTTTACATTATAGGACTTGGAATGTCCTTATACCATCCACTGGATAAGTAAAGCCTTCCACAGGTTATCCTGTCTGATACTCATGTTCATAGCACTTCAGAGCTCGTGAGGAGAAAAAGAAATTTCGTTATTCAGTCCTTTGTTTCCTGCAGATTGCTGCAGATATCTTTGCACTTATTTTTCCCCTGCATTGCATAAGCGTGTTGCAGAAGAAAAGCTTTCTGTTTGTGCACAATGTAGTTTTCCCCCTGTTCCCCAAAGTCTCTGCAAAATTAATTCTATACTATTGTGAGATTGGATAAAGTTTTTCAATTAAAGTGGAAGGGAAAAAAATACAGGATATAGAGACTGAGATCAAACAAGTTGGAAAATTTGGTACTTAATGGCTAACTCCTAGTTTTCTGTGCTGCAGTCATGAGGAAGTTATCTCAGGGGAGCTATGTAACTCACTGCTTGTTTTGTTTTCTTTTTACATGAGAGGAAGAATTGGTAATCTTTTGGAAAATTTCTTAACATCAAAGTCGTCTATAAGGTGTAGGTAGGGACATTTTAGTCACCTCTTCAGAGAAGCTCCTTAAGAAAAAGACATTAAAAGCCCCTTCTCCTTAAAGAGAGGTTGCAGAACAGTTGGGATTGTGTACTTGAGACTGCCAGGATTTGGGGGAGATGGTGGAAGTTCATTTTGAGTGCATTCTGTCCCCTCTCAAAGGAAAAATATAGCAAGAACTGCCTGTAGAAGAATCTTTATTCATTCAGTATGTTTTTTTATTAGGCTTCTCCCTCCTTAGGGCTTTATCTCCCTACACAGTTAGAGATTTTTTTTTTTAGCCTAATCTGTGGAAGGTGGTGTGATTTTAAGCATTTAATCTTAGTTCATGTTTTCAGAACTGACAGTGACTTTCTCTCTTCCAGGACGCCGACGAGGGAAATGGAACCACAACAATTTGCAAGCTGGTAAGATGCCACCTGTGCTTTAGCAAGCACCTGTCATGCAGCTCTCACACAGTTGCCCAGAAGGGGCTTTTGTAGGCTCTAAGTACTTTATAGATGCTTCTTGAAAACAAAAGGTAGCCTTAGGATCTTCCTGTTCAGCTAAAAGAAGCTTTGTATATGGAATTTGAAGTGTTGTATTTGTCAGATGGGAGGTATTTGCTTTGGAATGTGGGAGAGAGACTTTTAACCCAACCAAGGCTGTACTGGCAGAAGAAGCTTTGCTAATCATCTAGGCCATAGCAACAGGAGATTGGTTTGGGGTGGGTGCACTCAGCTCTCCACCAGAGAATACAGCAATACTTCCAAACCTCTTGAAGCTGCTGTAGTGTTTTTGTGAGATGAAAGTTGATGAATCATCTGGGCATTATTATAAATCACATCTTCTCTGTGTCTGTACTTTCATATTAAATTTACACAATGAGATGTTGTCCACATACATTGCCAAAATAGCATTAAAACCTTAAAAGTTTTGTTAATACCCTCCTGTACTGATTAGTGCTGACTCACACCATGACAAATTGGGGAATGTGACTGTAATTAATATTTTCCTGTCTTCCATCAGCACCGTACACCGAGCTGTCCCTGCCGCCCTTGAAGCCGCGGAAGGTTTGGATTGTGTACTCTGCTGATCACCTGCTCTACGTGGACGTGGTGCTGAGGTTTGCTGAGTTCCTGATGACAGTCTGTGGCACTGCTGTGGCCTTGGATCTGCTGGAAGACCATCACATCTCAGAGCTTGGGCCCCTACCCTGGCTCACAAGGCAGAAGAAGGAAATGGAAGAGCTGTCTTCAAAGATCATCATCTTGTGTTCTCGGGGCACCCAGGCCAAGTGGCAGGCCATGCTCGGGAGTGAGCCTGTGTGTCTCAAGCAAGATCAGCAAAAGCCAGTGGGAGACCTGTTCACCCCAGCCTTGAATCTGATCCTGCCAGATTTCAAGAAGCCAGCCTGTTTTGGAATGTACATAGTCTGCTACTTCGAGGGAATAAGTAGTGAGAGAGATATACCTGATCTGTTCAATGTCACATCCAGGTACCAACTGATGGACAAGTTTGAGGATATTTATTTTCGGATTCAGGATCTGGAGAAGTTTGAACCTGGGAGAATCCATCGAATCCAGGAAATCACAGCTGAAAATTATATTGATACCCCCAGTGGGAGGAAGTTGAAAGAAGCCATAGACAAGTTCAAGAACTGGCAGACTGAGCACCCAGACTGGTTTGAGAGTGAAACCATCTGCTTGGATAGTGATGAAGAGTTGCATTCCCTGAACAGAGAGAGCCAGGTGGATTCACTACTGAGTGAGCCAAGTGGAATTGTGAAACACCAGCTGCACCTTCGTGAGCCTGACCCCCACTGCTGTTATGTCATCAGCCTCCACATGCACGAAGGTGAGAGTACAGGCTGCAAGCTGCAGCCTCAACTTAATCCATGTGGGGATCCAAATTCCCAGACTGTGGTCCTGCCTGTGGATGTTCCTCGAATCCAGGTAGTGGAGCCAGTCTCTTCTGTGGAAGATAGAAATATACTCAGTCACCATGTGCTGAGCAATGAGGACTGTATGGAAGGAGTTCCTCTTCTGGAGACAAGCTTTCCAATGAGGAATAATGTCATCCTCCATGATGGCTCTGAAGTTTCAGTTGCTGACCAGAGCCCTGCAAACTTCTCAGATGACCTGAGTGACCATCTGAATGAACTCATGTACCCTCTTTATCAGCAGAGTGTCATTCCTTCAGAGCCAGAGTATCTCTGCCAGGGGGAGGCTGACCAGCAGCACCAGCTGGTTTTTGATGACCAATGCAAAGACCAAAGACAGTCAGTGCAGTCAGACCAGGGCTACATCTCCAGGTGCTCCCCTCTGCCTCCTGAGGACCTTCTAGAGGAGGAGGAGGAAGAGGAGGAGGAGCATCAGGAACAGCAGGTGGGCTTCCATGAACTCTCTCCAGAGGTCTTGAACAGTCTAAAGAGCCTCCAGAAGCAGCTCTTTTTCCAGGACATTCAGAGGAGCTCTAGCTGGAGCTATCCAGCAGAGGTGATGGACATTGACCAATCTTTGGAGGACTGTTAGGCTCTGCCTGGGACCTGCTCTGTATGAAATACAGGGATGGAAGTTGGTCCCGTGCAGAGCAGTACTGAGACTGCATTTCCAGCACTATCCTTGTATTGTAAAAGGCTTAGTGCTGGGATCTTCCTGTGTGCTGCTGGGATGCAGCACTGCCCAGCAAACATGGAATGTTGCTTCCAGTCTCTGTGGAGAGAAGCCACAAATATTGGCCACCCCTGTGAAAGAACAGGCAGTGGTTCTGTTCCTTGGGGAAAAGCATTACACTGAATTCTCACTGATGGATGGCAGAAAAATTACTGTGGCTCATCCACTCGTGCCTTCAAAATGCCCTCCAGCTGAGCTGATTCTATTGCACTGGATAAAAATCACAGGCATGGTTTTAGAAAATAGGTTTAGATAACATGGTAACATTTGCATTGCCATTTTAATACACATTTTAAACATTTCCTTGTAAATACTGTATTAAAGATGTGTGCCTTAAATTTCAGCTAGATTAGGGCTGTCTCTACCTGGTTGTTAAATGGGCCTAGAGATTTTTTTTTTCCCCACTCATCATTCATTTGCAGCTGCATTTCCATGGTCATTCAGAAATCAAGTGGAGTAGCTGAGAATAAGTGGGATAAATATTTAAATTGAGAGTCTCTATAACTCTTCTTGCCTCTCTACTGGGAGGTGTGTGCTTGAAAACCAGCAACAGCAGGGAGGGGGAAGATGAGACCAAAAAACGGAATTTGGGATTTTTTTAGTTTTAAGAAATGTGGGGCTGAATACAGAATCACAGAATCAGGGAAATCTGATGTTTTCTGTGTCACACTGCTGCAATTCTGTTTGCTTTTGGGTGTCTTAGCTCCAGAAAGATCTGAACTGAAGATAGTGACACACAAGGAAATGAAAGACTATTTTGGAGGAGGAAAAAATGTAGCCTCAGCAGATACTGTTTTAGAGTGGAAATTATATCAGAGTTAGTGGAGGCTGAGTGAAAATGACTGTAAGATGTACTTGTGTGGGTTTAAGCTCAAGCACAGGTAGTTCAGGTTAACCACAGAGAAATACTGAACAGACTAAGGGATTCATCTCCCAGGAGCAGTGATGGTGAGGCTGACATTTACCCTGGTTCTTATCATTGTTTCTGCAGCCCACTGGATAACAACCTGTGAGATGTAAATGCATCCAGGCCTTTCTCCTTTGTGGTCTTCCTATCCAGCTAAGTTTACTTGTTAAAAAATCTTTTATCTCAGCTTTTTTAAAATCTAATGTCTCAGAAAAAAAAAATCCATGACTTGCAATTTATTTTGTATTGTGTATATTTTATAATTTTGTGTCTAACCTGTGGGGTTTTTTCCCTTAAATTAAAAACAATGAATACTTTTTGGACATATTTACTTAAATACTTCTGTTCCTCAATTCTGCCTAACTCTTTATGTTGAGTTAAGTTCTTAGTATTTGTTATAGAAATCTGAGGCAAAACTGAGCCAGAACTGAACTGGCTCACAAATGTCAAAATATTCCTGCAAAGCACAGTGTGGAACGAGCTGGACAGAGCTGAGAGCCTGCAGCCATGGGAAATGCACATCCCTTCAAAACAGGTGGTAAAGGAATTGTTTGTAATTTCCACCCAGGACTCTGACAACAGCTTGATAACAAAGGGACAGTCCCTGCAGAGATCCAGACTTAAGGCTGGGAACCTTCCTGCTCCAAGAGCAATCCAGTCTAACCCAAGAGCTAAGCAGGAGGCAGCTGTGATCTCAGTGCTTCTCCAGTGAGAACCCATTTCCCAGATTATGTCAGTAATTGCCATCTTGATGATCCCACTTCTAAAAGTTTCTTTTATCTTACAGCATATCTTACTGATTTTTTTCCCCATGAGTCTTTTTCAAGTGGTATAAATTCCTATAAATCACTTAAATAGGAAGCTCAGAAGTGTCATCTGAATTTCCTTGCCTTAGTCATTCCCTTCTCAAATAACTCCCTTGGTGTTACAGCTCTTAGAATTTGCTTTCATTTACAGAATGTTTGTTTGAGGGGAAAATCCAGACACTATTTTAGCAATCCAGTATGAGGAAAACAAGTAACTTTAACGCATCTGTTGGTCCCTATTCAATACAAAGTTGAATAGCCCAGCAAGACTCAAAGGAGGAAAAAAAAAAGGAACAAAATCAGTCACAAGTTTCTAATTTTATTTAACAATCTTGCTTTTTAAAAAATACAAGTTCTGATTAATGCCAGGGGGATGCCAAGTGTCCATCAGCCACAGGCCTAATCTCTCACTTCCATTTCCCCTCCTGGGAGTAGTCATCTCTATTGTCAGGATAGCAAAGAGCAATAAAATGCTAAATAACTGAGTTGTGTAACAGAATCCCAAGGGACCTGTGTCTTAGTATGGCACAAATTCATTCAGCAAAGTGTTACTGACCTGGACCAGTAATTGAACGTTGGCACAATGTACAGGAGTTGTGCAAGGTGCATCAGGAGAGGTATTGCTTGCACTTGGATGGTACCACCATCTCTCTTCTGCAAACAGAAAGGTTTAAGTGGAAGCAAGAGCTCAATTACCAAAGAGGAGGGAATTCAAAAGGAGGAGCAGGTTTATAAACAAGACATTGAAAATCTTTAGATGTTTTTTCATAGTAAGTCATTGCAGGAGCAGCAGAGCTGCCCTTTTAGTTGCAAGGGGGGCTTCTGTATAGCCAACTATAAGAGCTTTACACTCTCCAAACAGCACATTTCCTAACAACCTAGAAACCATGGCACCACAAAGAACAACTTTTTCTACAAAGGAATTCTATGCAACACAAGTGTCATTTTGCAGGGTCATCTGTCCCAGGTAACCTTTTCGTCCATGGAAAAATCTGAACTGTAAGTTCACCACCAATGGGTTAAATAAGCCATGGCCAGATAAATTTCAAATATGCCATTTTTCTCAATAACATCCTAACTGGAAAAAGGCACTCACTGTTGAAACAGCAACTTTGTTATGGGCTATGAAGGGGTAATGAAGTCAGACTCGTTAATAATTGTGCTGTGATTCTTTTGATGTCTCAACTATGCTCACGTTTCAGTGTATTAGGGATTAGCACTTTGGTGCTATTGGGAACTTGGCCATAGGAGCAGCCAAACATAGTTGGTGATGAAAAGCTTTTTTTTTTTCCTTCAGCTTGTTTTTGGCAAACTTGGTTGGTTGGGGATTTTTTTTTCTTCAGGTGTTTGACTGAAGAATGGAGTAGTCCTAGGTTCAAGTATCACCTTTTTCTCTTTTGAATAATTATTTCTGAGTTTCTACTACCTATTTAATGCTGAAAAAGGAAGGTGCAAGGAAACAAATATCTGTACAAGCATAATATACCTGTAATTACACCTCCTTTGGCCAGGAACTTAGCATCCCCTCGACACATTTCACATCACATAGTAAAAGTTCACAGTACCAAGTTTTACAATCACAGTCACTCACAGCACCAAGATTGTCCAGACAAGAAGAAGTTACTGAAGAGAAAGGCCACTGGCCAAAATTCACACAACTGCCCCTGTGAGGGCTCAGGTTAAAAATAAAGCACTGGTGGGAAAGTTAAGCCTAGCTTTGCCAACTCTCCATTTGGCGTGAGGAGAGCAGCAAGTCACCCATCCTAGCTGCACTTCAGAACAGAACAGCACTATTGACCCATCTTTTGTAGGGGCTTTTCCAGCCCCTCAAAACCCATCAGCCACCAAGAGCTGGAGGAGGAGAGCCCCATGGCAGCCCCACTTCTGCCTCTGGGAGCTGGAAGTTACCAGACTGTAAACATTTTGTTGTAGCAGTCCACCAGAGCAGGCAGTTGATCCCACTCTGTGAATAGGAAGGTGGGGCAGAGGCTCTGAAGCCCAAGCCCTGAAGGAAAGAATGAATGTGTGTGCAGAAGAAGTCTGGGCTGCACCTGCAGTCCTGCCGTGGGTAGCAGTTGGTTGTGCTTTATTTCCCCTTCCCATCAGGACAGCTTGAAAAGAAAAAAAAAAAGAAAAAAAGAAAAAAAGAAACCTTGCGACAGGAAACTGTTGTTTTTCACAATTATTGCAGCCTTGCCCAGATAACAAAATATAAGCCTGGGAGGGGCAAAGTCCTTCCTCCAAACGTGGCCTGTGTGCTCCTGCTTCCATGGGGCTGGTTTCAGGAGCAGAGGCAGCCAGGCAGAAGAGCAGGCCTTAACCCCACCCAACATTCATGGAGCTTAAAACCAAAGAAAACTGTGTTCCTATGAGAGGTTACTAACAAATTTTCCCCACCTACCCTAAACCACATGCACACAGAGGACAGGATGCTGATACATGGGCTTTCACCAAAGCTCCAGAGCCCCTCTGCCTCGAGGGCTCCTGCAGCACTTTGCTTTCTGTGCTGAAAAGTGAGGCTCACTGAGCATGGAGCCCATCCCGAGCAGTGCCAGCATCCTCTGCTCTGCTCTTGGAGAGGGGACACTTTGCAGGCTTAGCCCCATCTCTGCTCTCTTAAGCAGGCATGGAAGGGGGCTAGAGGAAATTTTCCAGCCTTTCTGGCTGTGTAAAGGAAGACCCTATGCTCCGTGTAAAAGAAAACCAACGCTGATCCCGTAAACATGCATATTCACAGAGAAATGAGAGCCCCAGCATCTGGGGATGCCAGCAGTAGGCTGCTGTAAACCCTGTTCTCACCAGAAATAAATGTCTTGGTGGTTATGAAATAGGACCTAAAGCCCTGGTTTATGTCCATGCTGGATTGGTTTCTTTAGCATGTGAAGTCAATGTAAGATGCAAAAGGTTGAAGCACAGAGGTAGACATTTTGGCTAGGAGAAGGTGGCTCATGGGCTTGAAGTGACCGAGAGGCCAGCGTGCTTCCAGAGTTTCCTTAGCTGGTACACAAAGGCCTGGGAAACACAGGCAGCAGCTTTGCAAAACCCAGGAAACCAAAGCATGCTTCCTTCTGTCCTTCTGGAGGCAACATCTGCTGGTCAGGCCCCTCTTGCATCTCATTATTGTGGTCAGCAGGAGTTCTTAAAGAAGGGGACAAAATGCACTGGTCCTTGTTTAGGACGAAAAGGAAAAATTGAACCTTTATGGTTACAAAGCAACACAATGTCCTGGGAGGGAGGGGAAGAGCGGGACCCTCCAGAGAGTGGAGAGGCAGAAGCACTAGGAGAAGTCTTGTCACGAATGACAGGTGCGTTTTCCGGTGACAAGCATCACCTCTAGGCCCCTGCAGGTAGTCGGGTTTGTGCGGATCTTCCGCTGCTGGACGTGTCCATGAGGAAGGGAGGAGGGGAGCGGGAGTGTGACAGGGAAACCCACGTCCCCTTCCCCTGCTCGGCCACGGCGGAGGGAACCTGAGCAGAACGCAGAGACAGAGACTCTGCCGGGGTCGGCCAGGGGGGCTCATCCCTGGGCGGTGACCGCCAAGGCGTTCACGTACCCGTGGGGACCCACGTCCACATCGGAGAGCCCGTGGGCCAGCGGGGCGGCGGCGGGGGCGGCGGCGGCCGGGCCGTACTTGGCGGGCGGCGGGGCGGCGGCGGGGCGGAGGAGGCAGCAGGTCTCCAGCGCCTCCAGCCCGCGGCAGGTCAGGAAGAACAGGTTCTTGAGCATGAAGAGGGACAGCGGCTGCTGGTAGCGCAGGAGCAGCAGGCAGCGCAGCGCCAGCAGCGGCGCGTCCAGCAGCCCGGCGGGCAGCAGGAGGTGCAGGGCCAGGCGGGCGGCGCCGGGCGGGCGAGCGGCGCTCAGCTCGTACAGCCACAGCACCGGCGAGGCCAGGCAGAGGAAATAGACGGCGATGAGCAGGTAGCGCAGCGGGGCGGGCAGCGGAGCCGGCCGGCCGGGCTGCAGCACCAGCTCCAGCAGGGAGAAGCTGTCGAGCAGGTCGAGGCAGGTGGCGAGGAAGGCGGCGGCGGCGCGGTGCTGCGGCGGCGGCTGCGGCGGCAGGAGCAGCTGCCCGGAGCCCTCGGTGCCGATGGCCCGCAGCAGGCAGTACAGCAGCGGCGCGGACAGCGCCAGGGTGATGCGGAAGCCGGTGGTGCCCAGCGGCAGGCGCAGCTCGATCAGCTCCAGGATGGAGGTGCCCAGGATCAGCGCCGCCTTGGGCGTGAAGGCGATGGAGTAGATGAGCCAGGCGAGGTGCGCGTAGGCGAAGTCGCCGCCGCGGGGGGCGACCCCGGCCCCGCGGCCCCCGGCCCCGCGGCCGCCGGGGGGGCCGTGCAGCAGCAGCGGGTGCGGCGGCGGCGGCCCGGGGGGCGGCGGGGGCCGCTCCCGGCGGCGCGCCCGGCTGTTGCGGCAGAAGAAGATGCCCCAGCCGGCCGCCAGCACCAGGTCGGTGGCGATCCAGCTGCACCAGTACAGGTCGGTGACGGCGATCAGGTAGAGGTCCAGCAGCGCTCCCTGCCCCAGCAGCAGCACCAGGGACAGCGCCTGGAAGCCCCAGCGCCGCCCTCCCCCCGCCCCGCCGGGCCCCAGCAGCGCCCCCGCCGCCGCCCCGCCGCCCCCCGCCCCGCCGCCCGCCGCCGCCGCCCCGTACAGCTCCGCCGCCGTCATGCTGCGGCCCGGGCTGCCCCCGCCGCCGCCGCCGCCGCCGCTGCTGCTGCTGGGGAGCGGCGAGGCGGCGGCGGGCAGCGGGGTGGCGGGCGGCGGCACCAGGGGCTTGCTGATGCTGCTGCTGTCCTCTTCCTCCTCCTCCTCCTCCTCCTCCTCCTCCTCCTCTTCTTGCTCGGTGCTGCTGCGGGGGCTGCGAGGGCGGCGGGCCCGCGCCGAGCCCGAGCTGGACGCCGAGCCCCGCCGGCTGCCGCCGCTGCTGGAGCCCCCCGGGAAGAGGGGCTGCCGGTCGGCGGCGTGCGGAGGCAGCGGCGGCGGCGGCGGCGGCGGCGGCGGCTGGAAGGAGCCCGAGGAGGAGGAGACCGAGCGCTGGTTGGAGGCAGCGCGGTGCATGGTCCTCCCCGGCCCCCGAGCCGGCGCGCCGGGCCCGACGGCCCCGCCGCGGCCCCCGGCCCGCCCCCGGCCCGCCCCCCGCGCCGCCGCACCGGCCCCGGGCCCGGCGGCAGCAGCGGCAGCGGTGCCGAGAGCCCGAGCGGCGGCAGGCGGCGGGGGGAGCCCGGGGGCGGCGCCCAGCAGCAGCCGCAGCAGCTGCCGGAGCCGGGGCGGGCGGCTGGCGGCGGTGGGTGGGTGGGCTGGGGCCGGGGGAGAGGAGGAGGGGGCGAGAAGGGGAGGGGGAGGAAGGAAGGCGCCCCCGCCCTGTCCCCGGGGATGTTCCCCTTTCACACAGCTCGGGGAGCATCCTGCCTCCTGCCCCGCAGGACCCCCGCCCGTGGGCACGCCGCTGCATCCTGGCACCCACTCCCTAAGTGCTTCAGTGTGCCCTGATCTCTCTAGGCTGGCCAAGACAAAGACCAGTTGGCCTGGCACAGAGCCTACAGTGAAGCAGTCATTTGTGCCTCGTCTGTGCTGCCCCTACATTTGGTCTGGTGTGTTTGTTCAACAAAATAAGTCTTTTATCTCATCAGTTTTCTGAGTTGAGCCAATCCACATGCTGAGGGCCCTGCCCAGCTTGCCATGATGGGACATAGCATTTAAATTGATATGATTAGCTCTTGAGTTCTTACTTCTAGGAGAGCAACAATCGGGACCTTTATTGACCCGTTATTAATGGCCTCGAATTGAGCTTAATAGCTGGCTGGATGTGTTAATCACCAGCACTAATGGCTTGGCACATCATGTTCCAAAGTGATGCTCAACATCACCAGTTTCTCATTTGTACCTGTGCCCACCAGCGATGAACCAGGTGCTGCCTGACCGTGATATGAAGCACATCAAATTGTCTCCACAAATGTCTGTATTAACTACACTTTGCCATAAAGATCCAAAATAGCTTCGTGGTTTGAGCATGTAGCTGAATCAATACATGGGACTGAGCAAATGCTGCTTAGTACTGGGAAAGGACATCCAGGACAGCAGTGACATCCATCTAATACATGTTGGTGCAGGCTCTCTCAGGAACCCTGCTCCAGTCAGTGTCCCTGGCTGCTCTTGGCAACAAGGAGAAATCAGTCCCGAGTTCTAGGAGAGCTCATGCTTAAACTGGAAGCAAAGAGATAACTGAGTAAGGGAAAGGGAGAACTTGGGGTGGATTGACACAAAGATTTCTTTGGGCACACAGCAATAATCAGGAGGAAAAGCAGGGGAAGAGTCTCAGCAAAAGCATTGCTGTCAGCAGAGGCGGGGGCGAGGGGGCACAGACAAACTTTTTAGTTTCCTAAAAGCATGGTCAGAACAGAGGGGAAAAGAGAAGGTAACTGGAGGCTATGCAAGCTTTAATGTGGTTATTTGGGCAGCACAGGACTGAAATGGTACCATATCTAGGGATAGCAACAAGCAGGTGTTCCTGTGGTTCCCTGCACATGTTGCTACCCTGCTTCTAAATCCATGCTGCTGCATCCCTGCTGCCATACCCTGCTTGGCAGGACTGCAGCTCGGAGGGGGAACACCTATTTTCTGCTACACTCCCATTGTGTTTGCAGTGCTGGGATACACTGGCCAAGATTCCACCTTGCATCAGCACTACCTGTGTCACTGCCTTCCTCTCAGTCACCTTGTCATGGTCCCCAGCAGCAGATGAGACTGGACACACCATGTGCGTTTTTGCTGAGGGCTTTCTCGCTATCTCCATGTTTCCACAAGTAAAAACAACTTAGTTTTAAAAAGGTCACCAATTTTAGCCCTCCAAAGATACAACACAGAGAGCAGTGACCCACCTCCCTCCCTTGCCAAATACAGTCCCATCGTGCTGGCTTTGCTCTCCAGCCTCTAGGGTTGTGTGGATTGCAAGGGATGAGAGCCTGGGCTCTGCTGGCTGACTTTGCTACTAAAGAAAAATCTATGGCCAAACTTAGACTACGATTTTTGTACAGCCCCACAAACACCTCACTGAAGGCTCTGTGGATCGTCTCTGTTTGATAAGGAGCAGGAGGCTGGAGTCCATGGCCAAGGAGGATGATTGCTCTCTGTGTTGCTCTTTCATGTTCCTTGGCAGGTGTCGGGAGTTGCCCAGTTCAGGACAGCTCAGGGTAGTGTGAATGACACCAGCTGTGACTCCTAATTTGGTTTCCACAAAAAGGCTGGATTAGATGACAGTGTAAGTCTGTGTGGCCCATGGTACAGAGTAAAACCACATTCTTGTGTTCTGGGTCCTGGCTTTTATCCAAGCTAGGTGGGCACCTTCACCTGACTCTTCTCAGGGAAGCCAGTATTTGTGTCACTGGCGTGATTCATGTGTGCTCAGGCCCCAGCATTAGCTAAATTGGTCTTGGTCTTGCCACATTCTGCTGCAAGGGGAGTTTTCCACTTCTACAAGAGGATGTGGAGTGAAAACCAAGCATCCATCTGGGCCACTGAGAGCAGCAGCCCTCATGCAGGGAGGGCTGGTCCTGCCCTACCTGGGCAGCAGACAGTGACAGTTTTGTCTCCTTGGCTGTCATGCTCTGGATTTCCTGAGCAATGCAATTCCCTGTGTTCCACAGGCTGGACATACTCACTTAACTGCCCTAGCAGCCTGCCACAGGCACTCATTTCATAAAAACATTCCCCAAAGCTCTGGGTGCTGTCTGCTGTCCCACCTGCTCAGGTAAAGGGAATTGGGTGGGGATCCCTGGCTTTGAGAGGGGTGGGCTGTCACCCACAGCTGTGTGCACACCTGAGAAATGGGCTCTGACTCTACCCCCGGGTGATGTGGGGAGCTGGGAGCAGGGAATTGAGGCAGCTGTGAGGGAACTGGGTGCTCAGGGAAGAACCTGCTGGGCTGGGGCTGTGTGAGCAGGGCAAGAGCAAGCTCATGGAAATGGTTCTCCAGACACCACAGGATTCCTGCTGGGACTGTGAAGGGACCTGCATCCAAGGTAGGTAGGTGGGAAGAGGGAGGACCTGTGGTTGTATGGCAAGGGGAGCTATGACAAGGAATGGGGGAACGCCAGGAAGGAGGGTGGAAGCTCAAGGGCTTTCTTGGGCTGAGCATGGGCACCAGCAGTGCAAACACAACCCAAACAAAGAGGTGAGGATAAGAAAGGAGCTCATTTTTAGGAAAGGAAGCAGAAATTGTGCCTCTGCTTTAAAATGGGAATGAGGGGAGAAATTACTTCTACTTGAGAAAGCACTGAACAGCTTTTTGTAGCACACTGTAGGATGAGATATGACAAGCTGATGCTTCCCATGTGATCCAGTTATTTAATGCAATGTGCAGTCCTTGGATGTGTTAGTGCTTAACCATTACTGTTAAAACATTAAAAAACTAAACTATAAATAGCTTCTACTCTTCAGCAGCTCCCAAGTTATGTTTTTGGTTTCTTTATGTATTGATGTGTATGCATAGAGATGTGTGTGTATACATATATTTAAAAGCAAACAGCAGACAGCAGAGTTTTGTGCAATAGTCATACTGAATATCTAAAATGCTACCATTTTTAGTTTACACCACAAGTGGAGACAAGTATGCCCTCAAAAATACCCCTGCTGGGGTAAAGCAAAACTTTCTTGAGGGCAGAACTTGGGAGGAAACAAAATAATGACTCAATTTCTTGGGGGAAGGAAAAAAAAAAAAAAAAAAAAAGAGGCAGATATATGCCTTAAAGAAAGACCAGAAACTAGATACCTAATTATACCCTGCAGTAAGCTGTCAGAAACTGGCAGCAGTGGGAGGGAAGGAGGCAAAGCTGATCTCAGGGAGTTGGAGCATAATCTGCTCCAACCATACTTAAAATGCCTTTTGTGTGGGAAAGGAAGCTTCTGGGATTCTCTGCCCCACGCTTTGTGCTGCACTTATCTAACCCATTCAAATGGTCAGGGCTGAAGTTACAGATAAGTGTAAAAAAGTTTCACCTGGCCAGCAGCACCAAAATTCAACAATGCCTTGGCTTGTGAACACAATCTTTGTAACTGAACTGCTGATCCTGTGTTATGGATCAGGGAATGCAGATCCTCTTCAAAAGGATATAGAAGTGTTAACAGTCTATTGCTTGTAATTACATTTCGGTTCAAAGAGCTTTCAATACCAGCAGAAAATGCCAAGACATTTCTTTTCATGCTTGTAGCAGGGTAGGAGCTTGGAGAGTGGGTTTGGGGTTTGCTTTTGGTATTTTGTAGTTACTCAGCATAGAGCATGTATTATCTGACCTTGAGGAGAAAGTTCTTCATAGTTTAAATGACTGAAAAGGAAAAGTAGGTTTATTATAGTGAATTAAGAGAAGTTTTTTTCTTGATGGAGGTCTGGTTCCTAGAGAACATGCAGCTGCCTTGCTGGTGTGGGGTTTTAAACTGTTGTAGACTGGATCTATGAAGGTCTGTAAGTACATAGTGTTCATCAAATTGATTGTGGCAGTAAAAAAAAACCCATAAAGATTTGTGCTTTTATAATTGGGGTTAGGAAGGCCTGGCAATGGAAGGGTTTGGGCAGGCCCCTAAAGGTACCAGGGGGAGCAGGGACCAGGCACTTCCCAAGGGTTACCCCAGCAGACATTTTTCAGAGCATTCCCCTGGGAGCAAACTCCTCCAGGGCTGTCAATCCTTTTGTTCAAATTGGTTCTTTTTCAATATTTCACAACTGCCAGTGTTTAACTCTGTACCTTAGGCTGGGTAAGGATCTCTATGGGACTCTAACTTCCAGTTCAGGCTCTCCTACAAGGGACACCTTAACCCTAGGCTATCCTTGTGCTCTGACAATAGTGATTAAAAGCAAGCACCTGGACTTTCAGGCTATCATCTCTCCCTGCTTAACTAAACCTTGATTAGCCCCATCTTGGGTGAGTGCTCCAACTACCAGAGCACTGGATAAAAGGAGGAGGCTGATTAACACTTTTTATCGTTATTTATTAGAGGTTGGGGCTGTAGGTCGCTTCTCCAGGATGTAGAATATAATTCAATTCCTCTCCCTGCTGAGAATGGGA